GCCCACTTTCCAGATTTTCCGCTTAAGACTATACGTCTAGACAATGCCGGTGAATTCACGTCCCAAGCGTTTAATGACTACTGTATGTCCATGGGGGTAAGTGTGGAATATCCCGTAGCACATGTACATACACAGAATGGATTAGCGGAATCCTTCATTAAACGAATTCAATTGATAGCTCGACCATTACTCATGAGGTCGAAGCTCCCAGTAGCCGCTTGGGGACACGCTGTTTTACATGCATCAGAACTTATACGCATAAGGCCATCTAGTGAACATAGATATTCACCATCCCAATTACTTATGGGTCATGAGCCAGACATATCCCATCTAAAGACTTTCGGGTGTGCCATATATGTACCGATTGCTCCACCACATAGAAACAAAGATGGGACCTCAAAGGAGGATGGGAATATATGTTGGATTTGATTCTCCCACCATTATTAAGTATCTAGAGCCAACTACGGGTGATCTATTTAAGGCTAGATACGCGGATTGTCATTTGAATGAATCCGAATTTCCTACTATAGGTGGAGAGACGAACAAGCTGGGTAAAGCAATAAAAGAAATATAATAAAATCAAACATCCTTAAATTGGCAAGATCCTCGGACTCTGGCATGAGAATCAGAGGTCCATAAGATTATACATTTGAAAAGCTAGCTAATCAATTGCCAGATTCCTTTGCTGACCCAAAGAAAGTTACAAAAACGTACATACCAGCTTGTAATGCACCAGTACGTATTGATATCCAAAAGGGAATCAATGAAATTGCTACCGAGTCTAACACACGAAAGAAACGTGGTAGACCAATAGGTTCCAAAGATAAAAATCCTCGAAAATCAAAGAAAGGTGCAATAGGAATCCGAGGTTACTAAGGAAACCATCCCAGACATGGAGATAAGGCCGGCCGGCTCTAAGGTACAGGTACCATATAATGTAGTTTGGGACGCCAAGCTGCAAAGTATTAAAGGTCCTGACCATAATAAATCTCAAATCGATTATATCATGTCTGGAACATAATGGAACATATAAGAAATGTCGACATAAGATGATTTTGCATGCAAGGTAGCACTTGAATTTATGAATATAAATGAGGATCAGGAGCCCACGTCTATACTAGAGTGCACTCAAAGACTTGATTGATTAAATGGTACAAGACCATAAAACGTGGAGCTAAGAATCATTAAGAAAAGGAATGAGTTTGGTCCGACCTTAAGGACACCATTCGATGTAAAAACCAGTAGGACACAAATGGGTCTTTGTGAAGAAGAGAAATGAGAATAATGAAATCGTGAGATATAAGGCACGGCTTGTAGCACAAGGATTCTCACAAAGACCGGGGATAGATTATGAAGAAACATACTCCCCTGTGGTGGATGCTAAGACATTTAAATTTTGCTAAGTCTGGCTATATAAAGAAAAAGACTTGATTTGCGGCTAATGGATGTAATGCCTGCATATTTATATAAGTCCACTGGATGATATATATGAGATTACCAGAGGGTATTGAGCTCAAAGATAAAGATAAGAAAGGGTCTCGAGACCAATACTGCATAAGGCTGAACAAATCGCTTTATGGACTGAAACAAAGTGGACGCATGTGGTACAATAGATTAAGCGAGTACCTAGTCAGAGAAGGTTATAAGAATGATCCCATCAGTCCATGTATCTTCATAAAGAAATTTGCAAACGAAGGGTTTGTGATAATAGCAGTATATGTGGATGATTTGAACATCCTTGGAACCTCTGGGGAAATCGCCCAAACAGTCAAATATCTAAAGAAAGAATTCGAGATGAAAGACCTAGGCAAGACAAAATTCTGTTTGGGATTGCAACTTGAGTACGTGAATAATGGAATCCTTGTGCATCAAAAGGCATATACTGAAAAAGTACTCAAGAGATTCAATATGGACCAGGCCCACCCATTGAGCAGCCCAATGGTGGTGAGAAGCCTCGGATTGGATAGTGATCCATTCGGTCCAAAGAAGGATGAGGAAGAAGTTCTCGATCCTGAAGTGCCATACCTTAGTGCCATAGGAGCGTCAATGTACTTGGCTAGCCACACTAGACCAGACATATGTTTTGCCGTGAACCTCCTTTGCCTAAATTTAGTTCATGATCAACCCAAAGGCACTAGAAAGGTTTGAAGGAAGGTTTGGTTAAATTTTAAATTCTATTCTTCCTATGTTTGTTAGTTGGGTTTTATTCTATACTGATCTAACCAAAGAAGGTCTAGTTTGCTTTGGTTTAGTTTGTTTTGCTGATGCAGGTAAAATCAGATTATGGCATGGTCAATAGATAGGAACTACGTGTGGCTTGATCCCTTCCAAGGGTACGTAGGCAGCCTTCTTCAAGGCGCAGCTACTACAACATCAAAGACCATCATATGAGGAGACAACACAGCCTGTATCGCTCAGCTCAAGGACGGCTACATCAAGGGAGATCGGACGAAGCACATTCTAACAAAGTTCTTCTTCACGCATGACTTGCAAAGGGATGGAGAAGTTCGAGTGGTACAAGTTCGATCCAGCGACAACTCAGCCGATCTCTTTACCAAGGCATTACCAACATCGACATTGAGGAAGCTCACGCATCAAATTGGAATGCGGAGACTTAAGGACTTGCAGGGATGACCAAAACAGGGGGAGTAATACGTGCTGTACTCTTTTTCCTTAACCATGGTTTTGTCCCAATGGGTTTTCCTGCTAAGGTTTTAATGAGGCAGCATCCCCAAGCGTATTACTGAGATCCTTTGGCATCTACACGGTTATGTCATCCAAGGGGGAGTGTTATAAACCACATGTTGGATGGACTCCATAACCGTGGACCTTATGCATATTCTAGAAGGCCCATGTCCATGTCCTAGAAGGCCCATGCCCATGTTCTTGAAGATTCTCCTTATGACGGCCTATATTGTACTTAGTGGGCTTTTGGGCTTTAGGGTTTACTAGCCCAATGGGGATTTGTCTCCCCTCATCATGTATATATATGTATCGAAATCTCATTCATTAATCAATAGAACAACACAGTTTACAACACATTACCTATTTTATTTAACCCATTTTCTCCTTTTTGGCCAAATTTGTATCCTATTTTAAGTTTTTAACTATTTGAAATCTAAATATTTGAGAAAGTTTGATTATTCCATATATTTGTTCTATTTACCATTTGAGTGACAGGTTGGATATAGCTGTAATTGTAGATTTAAGAGTTCTAAATTGATATTTAATTTACTCTTTTTTTATAGATGTAGTTTAAGCTTTTATTTGATTTTAATGATTTAAACCAACATTAGAAATGATGTGGGTTTTTTAAAAACATATTATAGTACTTCAAAATGCACAGAAAATATATTTATTTATTTGTAGTTTATAATGTAAGCATTCAATTCAAAAACAAAAACTACATCATCAAATTTAACATATATAATTCTATATGATACAGATGTGACGAAACATATATGTCGTTTAATAAATTGTATTCAATATAGACATTTATCGGTACTCGGTGAAATATATAGTATAATATTGGGGAAAAATGATAAAACAATAATAATGTCACAAAAGGGTGCAATTGTGTATGAAATTAAAAACTCTGTTAATTAAATTTTAGATACATTTTCATGTAAACTTTATATTTTAGATACTTAGTGTAATAAAAATAATTTGTCCCTATTGGTGATGCTATATTGTGTGATGTTAACATTAAAGAAAAGAGAGAAAACCAAAAAAAGTAGATTGGTTGAAGAAGCATAATTAATCATGGTAAAATATTGTTGTGTTACGAAACGTAACTAGACTCGTTGCTAAATTCTACGAGAGTTGCGTAGAAAACTTGATCTATCTCACTATTTTGATGGATTACCGTCCAAACTCCAAAGTGTATTTTCTTTTAGAATTACGTGGATTTTTATTTTTTGATTACGAACCTGATGAATCAAGAAAGTGACGCAATTTTTTTGTCAAAGAAAAATTGAGACATGTCACTATGGAGATGGGATCAATAGTAATTAATTACATAAGCAAAATAAAATGAGTATTATATAAGTCATTTAAGTAATTGTTGGTAGAAAGGACAATAGAGGTTTTGGGTGGGGTCATGCCAGTTTGGGTAAAAAGAATTAGAGAGAGGGGTTGTGTGTATTTGACATAAGAAAAGCAGAAAGAGAGAACAGAGAGATGCCACGTGGAGTCCACGGCCAATGGGAGAGCGATAAGCTTATCAAGGATCAAAGTGCGGAGGGTAAAGTGGGCGACGTTGCTTTTCCACGTGTCAATGTTTTATTGGTACTAAATGTTAAAAGTTAGATTTCCTCTTAGTCGGTTTTCGGGTCCCACACTCTCGTGGCTCTCGTTTACCTCTCTCTTGCGTTCACAAGGTTTGTTTTTTCTGATTTTTGTATTTTTCTTAGGTTTGGTATTTTTCTTGTGTCCCATTCTTATTTTTAGTCTGGTCCGTATTTTCTCCGTATCTTGTTTGAAATACATTCTCCTCTTGTAAAGAAACGTTTTTGGTTTATGATTAGGTTTATCAGCCTCCAACAAATTAAATGGATGTAACCATCCTGGTACCAACGTGTACAATCTAGAGCCATAAGCTTTTAGGGAAAGCCAGAACTTGGCTACTTTCTCAGCTGTGTCGTTGCTTGATCGATGCTGGAAAATGAAAGTGGCCAAGCTTGTGCATTATGGTGAGTTAGTACAACATCTTGAGCATCTGTTGATTCAAAAAATGACATGCTTAAACCTAGCTAATCAGAAATAATTAATCAATTTATAATATTATTATTTTCTTTTAAAGATTTCAATATGTAACACGCACACAAAACTTGTTTTATCATTGTAGTCGTAGCAACCATTAGTTTTATGATAGAGATGTTTCAGTTACGAAATAAAATTTAAAACAACTTATACATGTTTAAGTGGTTTTAAGTTGTAATTTTTAATGTTTATGTAGAGATCCAAATTACAAAGCTTCATTTAAAAATATGATCATTATCGCTGAAATTCACGATGAAATCACTTAGATTCGATGCAATTCGTCAAATATCTCACGTACTAAAATTCGTTCAGCGAGTGATGGAGACATAGATGTAAATGGAAACGTGTACTCGTAAATTGTGTTATCTTTCGTGGCCCATAAATTTTTAGTCCGAGATTGGAGTTTTATCGTTTTATATCAAATAACATACTAGTTAAATTGAATAAAAAAGGTTTATTATAAAAAGTACCAAAGAAATGGACCGTAGTCACCATTTACATGGTAACATGGCTCGACACGTAGTGTTACTTAATGCTGCAAGTTTTTTTCCTCTTTCTTTTTGCCTAGCTCCCTGAATATTTCAAATTTTAGTTATATAAAATATTTTTGCTGACGAGTTTAGTTACTATAGTTTCTAAAATGGTCTAGAAAAAGATGTCATATATAAATATAATAACTCGGTAATGGCTACGTATAGAGTCAGCCACGTAACACTAAATGGATGTGTTATGGACCCCTAGTACACTTCCATTATACACGAATCGATTGTGTGTACATTTTACGATTAAACATAATATTTCTTAACCTATAATTATTAATTTTGTACATCAAATTTCTTTTTCTGAAATAGCTAATTCCCACTAGCAAATTGATTCAAAACATAGTTGAGTATAACATAATGATTTGGGGACAGAAAATATAATTATAATTGTGTTAAGTGTTTTGGAAACAAGTCAAAATTAGTTATTTATCGTCACTTATATTACTATGACTTTTAGAAAACGAAAAACATAAATTATGTACTGTCTCCTATTGAGGACTTGCATTATTTGAGAGGTTACACTACAATATCATTTTCTACATGTATGATGCGCACAACTAGAAAGACGAATTCCAAAAACCAAAATATTGGGAAACTACTCGAACAATATTTCTAACGTCATCCACCACATGATATTTGTGGTTTTTAGCGGAATAAATTCCAACACACCACATGATTTGCGAAGCTACAACTTTCTTTCTTAGCCGTGAGAAATTGAATATTCCTTCCTCTTATTCTGCATATTCTTTGTACTTGTTTCGTTACGCACTGCTTCCGTGTAGCCTACGTATATATACACTCAAACTGTTTTGATGTAACCTGTTTTCTCCACCGAAAATCATACTTAAAGTGTAATTTGGTTTTTGTCTCGTTGATCTATACTACATATCAGTTCCTACTTAAAAGTAAACTGATTAATAGAAATTCCCATGAATATATATATAAACTCGAAGTCGATTTTTTAAAAAAGTATATCTAGTGAACTCAAGTATCAATTTAGAGGTCTGAATTTGTTCAATACCTTCCACTATTCCCAACCTCAAGGATTTGGTCCATAAAGCTCAAATTTTTGGGTACCAAAATATTCCATCAAGGATCTACAGATTCGAACCAAACCGGATTAAACCAGATTGGTGAGTCTACGGCACGTGAAGGAAACGCGCCACGTTTCAAAAACTGGTTTTGGGGGTAGTTTCGTAATTTACAGAACCAGGGTTTTAGGAGGGTCAAAAAACCCAGGAAGAAGAAGATCGACATGGAAGTATTGGACTTAGAACACCAAACCATGGAAACGTTCCTGCGTTGGGCAGCAGAGATTGGCATTTCAGATTCCATTGATTCTTCTCGATATCGCGATTCATGTCTGGGCCATTCCCTTTCCGTCGCCGACTTCCCTCACGCCGGCGGGTGCGTAGAAACAAATTCGATTTTTTTTTATAAATCCCTAAAATTAGTCTTCTCATTGATCAATTGATGGAATCAGGAGAGGTTTGGGAGCTGTTCGTGAGCTCAAGAAAGGAGAATTGGTTTTGAAAGTCCCCAGAAACGCATTGATGACTACAGAATCTATGATCGCTAAAGATCGGAAATTGAATGATGCCGTTATTCTCCATGGATCACTCTCTTCGACTCAGGTTCCCTTTTTTTCTTTCAACATTTGAATGTGTTCTGTGTTTGTATCTGAGAGAATCTCAAAACCTCAGAATTGTTGAAATTTGCAGATTCTGAGTGTATGCTTATTGTATGAAATGGGCAAGGGGAAGAGGTCCTTTTGGTATCCATACTTGGTGCATTTACCTCGTGACTATGATCTCTTGGCCACATTTGGGGAATTCGAGAAGCAAGCTTTACAAGTTCTGTGTCTACTACTACACTTTTGTGTTTTTATTTTGGTTTTTGAATAGGTTAGATCTTGTTATTGGATTGAGATCATGTTCCTTTCTTTTCTGGTGATTTCAACTCTAAAAGATGGGATTTTTTTTCATGTCCTTAGGTTGAAGATGCTGTTTGGGCTACAGAAAAAGCCATAGCCAAGTGTCAGTTTGAGTGGAAGGAAGTTGGTTTATTGATGGAGGAGTTAGAGCTTAAGTCAAAGTTTCGGAGTTTTCAAGCATGGCTCTGGGCTTCTGCAACGGTAGGAACACTTTATCTATATCACTCGAAAGTTGCTCGTGAATTCGATGATGGTTGATTAGAAAGCTTTGTTGTAAACTTACAGCTACAAACTCTTCTTCTGTTTGAAGATATCTTCGCGGACACTGCACGTACCATGGGATAGTGCTGGGTGTTTGTGTCCTGTAGGGGACTTGTTCAACTACGATGCTCCTGGAGATGATTTGCATACCCTAGAAGGTCCTGAGAGTGCTAATGATGTAGAGGAAGCAGGACTTGTTGTTGAGACACACTCTGAAAGGCTCACAGATGGTGGATTCGAGGAAGATGTCAATGCTTATTGTCTTTATGCAAGAAGGAATTATCAGCTAGGAGAACAGGTACAAGTCCTTAACTAGCTTTTGTAACAGCTGCGAAACTAATGTAGTGGAAGCACAACGTAGAAAAGACACTGAATTGTATGTTTGGGTGTAGGTTCTTCTATGTTATGGGACTTACACGAATCTAGAGCTTCTCGAGCACTATGGGTTTATGTTAGAAGAGAACTCAAATGACAAGGTCTTCATTCCTCTAGAAACCAGTCTTTTTTCACTAGCTTCTTCATGGCCTAAAGATTCCTTATACATTCATCAAGATGGTAAGCCGTCTTTTGCGCTTGTATCGACGTTGAGACTGTGGCTGATCCCACAGAGCCAGCGTGACAAGTCAGTTATGCGCCTTGTTTACGCTGGAACTCAGATATCTGTGAAGAATGAGATTCTAGTCATGAAGTGGATATCAGAGAAATGTGGAAGTGTAAGGGATCTGCCAACTTCTGTCCTAGAAGACACTCTGCTTCTTCATAACATTGACAAACTCCAAGATCCAGAATTGCGTTTGGAGCAGAAAGAAACAGAAGCTTTTGGCAGTGAAGTATGCGCTTTTCTCGATGCAAATCGTTTGAGGGATGTCACTGGATTTTCTGGGAAACCTGTAGAATTTTCCAGGAAAACTAGCAGGATGCTGAGCAAATGGAGGTTGTCTGTGCTGTGGAGGCTAAGCTACAAGAGAACTCTTGCAGATTGCATCTCTTATTGTAGTGAGAAAATGAATAATCTCTCATGTACCCAAGATAGGCTTAGAGATTTGTAACGTGAATCGAAATCTATCAATGCTCAAAAGAGGATTTCTGATCATTGTTTTTACATTCATAGAGAAGTCAAAAACAATTACCTGCTAAAATCTACTGTTATATCTTTCATCAATTGCAAGTATTAATTAAAGATAGTAAGCTGAAGCCAAACAGATGAGGAGATCAGTGAGGATGAGACCAACAACGTCAAAGACAAACTTTGGAGCAAACAAACCCCAAACCTGCAAAGAACATGAGAGCAATGTTTTAGTCACAGAAACAAAACAAGAACCTTTGGCTTGAGTGAATCTTGCTGTGTTTACCATCAGATGTCTTCTCTGGATGGTGACGCAGAGAATTGTAGCTGTGACTGTAGTCGCAGATATAACTCCAAAGAGCATATACATCTGATGCGGATAAAAAAATTATGATTTAACACATTGTCACTGAATCTACTAGAATAAACCAAAAAACGAATCAATATGAAGATGTCTTACTTGAAACAACTGGTGGCGCTTCTCTCCATGAGCCTGAGGAGTTTGAGAGTGAATAGGTACGAGGAGAGGAAGTCCAAATACAGAGAGGATGATCGAGAATCCAAATGTTTCGATTGTCAAAAGGATGGCTTGTCGTACAAGCACAAACTCATCAAACCTGAAGAAAAAGATGTCAACAAAACCACCATATAGAATGAAGACTCCATTGTAGTCTGAGTTTATGAAACTTGGACCTACCCAACAAATGCAGCTCCATAACGGAGGCCATCAAAGGCGCACCAATGCCCGCTGGCGAAGAACATGCATATAGAAAGAAGACTCCATTGCACCACACAGAGAGGATTTAGTTTTGAGAATTTGCTCTGTCCATCTGATTGGGTTCTTCTCTCTACACCCTCCAGCCTCATTATACAATAGCCTACATATATTTAACTGCATAAGTTAAACCTTAATGACCTGAATTGCCATCTTTGTTATAAAGTTTTTTTGCTTTGAGAATCATCAAGTGAGAAGAAAAAAATTACCAGCAACTAAATGTGCTAATGCAAGCATTGATCCTTGCTTCCCCGACATTAGAACTACTGGCGAACTACAAGCAGATACAAGAGCGACAGTTCTGATGGCCCAATTCTTGTCTTTTCCTGCGCAAAACATGCGTGTGGAAGCTAAAAGGCAGAGCTGCACCAATCCGATTACATAAACCGTTTGAGGGATGCGGTTTCTTCCTCCAGTCACTTGAAGCAAACCATCCAAACCAAATATCTTGCTCTCTGATGCCCAGAGCAATGCAATGAAAAAGTAGCTTACCATACTACCAATAGTAACATACTTCCACAGCCCCTCACTGGGTGCTTTCGAAATTGCTATGTAGAGCACACAAATCAGTATAACCACTGACAGAATTGGTGCAATTTCAACCGCATATGTCAATGCTGGATGGTCTGGAGCTATCCCGAGCATCCACGATGGTGAGCTACTCATAAACTGAGAAGTTGCAGCTTGCTTTGTTAGCCCAATATCTATAGAAACTCTGAGAACAGAAACCATAGCCAGAAATATAAAAGCCTGCAGACAAGATGATTGAAAATATTATAATCCAACAAGCAACTTTTAAGGTAATAACCAGAAGTAACAAAGATATGTAATAGATAATACTGACTTCTTTCCGCATTGTTTTTCTCATAACAGAGTACCGCAGCTTGATAAGTCCAGTTGTTGCCAGAAGAAAGTTTGCAACTTTCCCTTCTTCCACTATTGACAAAAAAATTCTCTGTTAGCACAAAGAAAAAAAGAGCAAAAAGCTTAATCTTAAATTTACTTGAAACTTACAAATATAGCTGTTTGAAAGAAAGCTGCAAGCACGAATCGTTACTATAAAGAGAGAGAAAGCTGCACCAGTGGATAACCAAGAACCCACTGCATAAGATTTGTCGCCATGGAAAACAGCAAGAAACTGAAGGATGAGTGATATAACCAATATCCCAAACCCAGTAATCATTAGATTCAGATTGAACTCTGTCCACTTAGACCGGGCAAGTTCAACAACGCTTGAGAAGAAATTCAAATATGCTGCAATTTGCTCTTTAAGGAGGGCAGATATATCTGTACTACCCTCATCTCCATTTTTATCCATCAATATGTGTTTGACAGAATTAGACCAATTCTGTTCTGCTGCAGAATAGAGATCTGATATCCTCGACATATCATCGGAAGAGAAACCAACAACAGATGAATTAGAATAAACATCTATATATCTTTTCACCTGCATATAAATAGAGTTGGAAACTGAGAGTCCGAAAACAGAACATCGTTACAACTTACAAGAAATTGTTTCAAGTTTTCGACCTGTTACCTGCCATGCATTCACACAGAGTACATTAACGAAATGTTTCATCCACTCCTTAGCAGCCGATTGGGTGCCAAAATTGCCCAAACCAGAGTCATCCAAATTCCAGCTGCTGGAACCAAGGGCATATAGCTCAGGGTTGATATGCCCAATGCTGAAATTTGATATACATCGAAATGTTAGGAATATTAATATGTTCACATGGATATTTTTCTGAATAGAAGCAGGAAACAAAATTTGACAATGATCCTTACAAGGCACCTTCCGAAAGGAAATGATATCCCAAGCAAAGCTGACAATGTTGCCGCAAAATCAAGCTGCAAATAACCCATAACAATTAAATTTTGCAATGAGGTTTGCATAGAGTATGAGTTAAAGAATCAAATCAAATTTGATACTGACCTGCTCAATGGAGCTGATACAAATCTGCTTCCCATCCTGACATTAAAATGAACCCAATAGAATCCCAGTAATAAGAAATCTCAAAATCAATTCTTATGATCACCAAGAACTATGTTTAGCAGGTTAGAATTACCGTGTTTTGTTTACAAGATGAGGTATCGAACTCAGGAGGAACCAAAGTTGTATGCTTCTTTGTACTCATGGCAAACATGGTTGTTTCTACCTGATAAGGGATTTAGAAGTAAAGGTGGATTAATAATCTTGAAGCAAAGTGAGTAAAAGAAGAAAGCCAATATCTTACCTCTTCTGCAGTCCCTCCACCATGATCCCCATTTAATGTCTGCCCATGGTCACCCATTACGATAAGCATAGTATTCTCATGCAAACCACCTGGTCCCGCCTGGCTCTCCAATATATTGATGACTTTCTAGAGGAGGCAAGTAGAGCGAGAATGAAACAAGATTACATATAGCATACTAATAACTTTTTGCAACTGAAGGACAAGAAATGCGCGAGTGAAATAAGATGGTTAATTTTTGTTGAAGCCTTTAACAGGTGATTATAAGGTAGTAAACAGTAGTTAACCTCTAAAACTGAATTATATTGCTCCAACTTATTAATCATTGGGCTCGAATCCACTCCATATATGTGCCCTGCATGGTCCTGGAAATATTAAAATTCACAGAATCAAGGAGATGAATGGCAAGATAACAAAAAAAATAATACAAAAAGGTAATTGTCGGCATACCACGCCGAGAAAATGTGCAATGAGAACATCCCAATCATCTTCGTAAAGGGTTGGGAATAGGTGCTCTATGCATCCATTATCAACCTATAAAAGAGCAACCAATATCAAACTTAAAAGGCTCTACTCAGTCAAGGTACCTCGGAACGCAATATAATAAGGGAGCAAAACATGAATCACTTACAGTATCCAGGTCTTTAACATTGAAAGAGGGGAAAGGATATGACTTTTGAAATTGATTTGGGAACAACTGTGTCCAAGTATCATCACCCATCATCACCAACCGTTTCCCATTTAGCACTAACTATGCATACAGAGAACTCATTCAAGTTATAACATTGCGAACTAATCAAAATGACATTAGAAAACAAACACTTTGACTTAGATAAGCCTAAACCTGATTGATGAAGTTATCCTCAACGATAGCAGGAGCACCGAAACTATTCCCAACATCGATAAAAGTAGGCAATCCTCCAGTTGTTAAACCCTGAATTTCACACACTAGAATATGAAAAGAGTGGAAGCAATCAAATGTAATCACCAATCTAGAAAGTAATTAGAATTGGGACCTTGAGACGCTGCAAACTAGTTGTAGGAGGATCAGCAAAAGCCTTAAAGATCTTAGCAGATGATCTATTAGCAAATGCAAGCTTCTGCAAGATTGTTAATTTATCCATCCATGGCTTTGGTTCTGTCAATTAAAGAATTACTTATAGTTTCATTACTCAAATCAGTAACAAAGACACAAAGCTCATTCCAACTAACCTGGGAAAAAAACACTCGGGGCCACAAAATCGATCCTGGAAAACAAGAAACAGTCAAAAATCACGAAATGCTTAAGGAATTGTGAAATTGAACAAAACCAGTCAGTTTTTGATATACTTGAAACCTGAGTGCATCTAAGACAATTATGATGACGCGATCGACAACTGGTTTGGTCCAACATTTCGGCTGAGTCTGATTAGATTGACCCGAGCTCGAATCGTGATTTGGATGTTGTGAAGCAAAGCAAGGAGAGAGAGAAACGTCGGAGCAAGTACTGTGAAAAGGAAGCTCTGTTCGAGTGAGAAGAAACCCACGCGTGAAGATCAAAATGGCGATGGAGTGGATCAAGAGAAAGCCTAAAGCTATCAACTTCTTATTGTTCAGATATGTCTCCATCTCCGGATCAAAAATTCCCCGGGTCGTATTTCCGATAAGTAGATTTCGCCGTGACGGCGGCAAAATCAGCAGCTATTCAAGACGATGAAGATGTGAGTGTAGAAACGACGTCGTTTTGTTGATCAAAATTGGCAAATAAGAATCGAGATTTGCTGCGTTTGCGTTTGTTTAAGCAATGGCGCGTTATATTTTGAGAAATTTCGGTTATCGAATCGGTATAAACCTTTTGTCCGGTATAGAATTAGTGATAACACAAATTTAAATTAACTATTCCGGTTATTGAAATATTATGGTTCTAAAGCATCTGGCCTATTAACTTAGATTAAGGTTAATTACTTTAATATTTTGTTAAATCTTGTTTAAGATTTAATTTAATAACTGTTGTCTCTATCCAATGATTTCGTCTCATCAATCAAGTCATGCACAAGTTTAATCCATTTGAGTCAGTCCACAATCATTGTAAACCCAAACCAAAATTCTTTAGAAACACCTCAAATCGAAAGTATAAAGGAAAGGAGAAGGATCAGAACATTGGCTTGATTTCCTCTGTTGAGAAGGAAATAAATATAGCTTAGTGTAATCTGATTCGATCATTTGGGGAAATTGTCATCACCTCCATTCTCCATATTACCCATATAAGAATTGAATACATTCTAATTGAACTATCTAAAGACAAATTCATCACAAAAAAAATATAGGAGATAAGGATCAGAATATTGGCTTGATTTCCTCTGTTGAGAAGGAAATAATAATCGCTTAGTATAATCAGATTCGATCATTTGGGGAAATTGTCATCACCTCCATATCTCCATTACTAATCACTAATCAAACTTTTCATTACTTTTGAAAAAAACACGAAAGTTTTAAAATCAACAAACAAACCCAATCTACCTAATAAAAACAAAAAGGAGAAGGATCAGACTAATTGGCTTGACTTCCTATGAAGAGGAAATTCTATTCGCTCAGTATAATCAGATTCGATCATCTGGGGAAATTGTCATCACCTCCATTCTCCATTAAACGAATCCAAATATCAATGAATAAAAATAAAAAAGAATTCAATGTTGTGTATGAACTAAACCTAAAACAAATCAGTAAATACAGAGCCAGATCTTAGGGTTCTCTATAACAAACCAATACAAAATCAGATTTACCCTAATCTGAAAATTCGAGCTGATTAGCAAAACCCAGAGGGTTTTCCGAAGAGAATCAAAACGAATAACAGAAATAGGGAAAACGATTTGGCGTCAGCTCATACACAACGAACATGAACAAGAACGGTGGTAATCAGTAATATTGACGCAAAATTTCTAATGACGAAAAACCCTAGAAACCATTGAAGAACTGATAAAGGATAAGAAATCTAGCTAAAGAGTAGTCGACGGCTGGTTTTTTGGTGTATTGAGGTTCAGTCAAAAGAGTATTTATAGGTGCGGTGAGGCTTATGTCGGTCTAGAAACCCTAATGCGCGTGTTATTCACGTGATATGAGGAATTTCTATTGGATCCTTATTTTGGTGGGCTTTTGCTAACTTGCAAAGAAGTTTTAATATTTGATCAAATTTGTTTTTTTTTTTTTTCCTTTTTAAAACTACATAAAAAAGTTGACAAAAAAAAAAAATACATAAAAAAAAAAAAAGAGAGAATGATGATCCATATGTTTTTATGAATATGGAGCTTCTTTTTCATGCGAAATTTTTTTAAGATTAACAAATATATTAAGCATCTTAATCAAATTTCTCTCCCCATTAATATTTAAAATTAAGAAAGAACTCAATCTAATATAGCATACATGTGTATATGGTATATATGTATTTCTCCTCTCTTCTTTTCAAAAGAGGTATAAGACAATAAATAAATAAATCAGAAAATAATTGTGAGACATTTGTAATAACGTTTTGCAACTAGACTAATCTGCTTCAATTTCAACTTCGCAACATTTTCAGCCTTCTGGAACCAAGAATCATCACTGCCTTCTTCCATTAACATTGTTCTCTCTTCATTTCCATGTACCGGATTTATGTGAATTTTCAGTATCTGCGACGGTACGACTTGGTAGTATAAAATCTCCGTCGTTTGCCGTGTACTAATAAGCATTTTATGGTTTACTATGATCTCTTCTCCAATCATTTCCAATCCTGCGGAGTTTGGGGTTACGTTTGAGTTGTCGTTGTCTTGTGCTTGGTTCTCAAACGAGAAAAAATCATCGATCTCTATGTTGTTGATTGTATTGGTCCGTGATCCACCTAGAATGATACAATTATTTCCGATTAGATATACTCAACATTTCTATATATGATGTCAATGAGAGTTTCTATATCATACCCACCATAAAATTCAAGATCTTGATCGTTACTCTCAAAACTTGGCAAAATCTCTTCTTCTTCTAGAAAACTCTGTTAACAATGCATACAGATTATTTGAGACAATTAATATTTGTATTTAGAGCATATATATACAGGGCCGGCCCAAACTATTTGAGTGCCTAAAGCAAAAATTTTTTTGGCCCATTAACAAAAGCTGTTATAAAAAAAAATACAAATTTCAACATGTATGAGATTTGAAACCATGACCTGTACAACAAAAGACTTCAATCTAACCACTAGATCACAGTAACATTTTAAAAATTAATGCCCTTAAAACTACTTATAATTATTTGATGCCTAAAGCCCTTGCTTCATGGGCTTTACCCATGGGCCGGCCCTGTATATATAAATGGAGAAACCATATTGATTATTATGATATACTATGATATTAGTTACCTGTTTAAGATTCTCGCTAGACATTCTCATCCATGTCGAATTTCCAACATCGAGATCTCCAATGTGTATTAAATGATCATCAACGTTGTTGTTATAGAATTGGTTGGAGTTACTTGCGGCGAAAGTAAAGTCGTCGAAACCGCTTTGACCACTGTTTTGATTCATTCTCTTGGAGAAATCCCTGGTTTGAGCCGGCGAATTTTCTACTCGCAATGGTGGCAGTGACATTTGATGTTGCAACATCTCACATTCCATTTCTGTATTCACCTACAGTAGATATATACAACATTTTAAGTTACATAACTGATTTTGTATAAGATCTAGTAGTCATCTAGAATTAGCTGTATTCACAACTTACCTTTGATTGTGTGAGGGAAGGTCCATAAGGAGATCCATAATCTGCAAAGCTCGTAGGCATGTTTTGTGACAAGTACTGCGACCAGTCATCATGATCAGTGATTGCGTTTGCGTTTCCAAATCGTGATTGGATATCGGCAGCGCTATTATAAGGTAGAGCTTGATGTGCGTTTGAACTTATTTCAAGATCTGAACAAACGTCAAAACTCGAGTTACCGCTTAGATTCGAGCTCGTATGGACGTAAGGTTGATGCTGCTGCTGATGTTGATCTCTTGGTTTGGCCTCAATCACTATTTTCTTAAACACGCGACAAAGTGCATATGCGTCCTAAGAATATTCGAACAAGAATCTTGTTAGAAAAGTTTTTTCTAGTAACTAACACATCTAATAGTTTAAATTAGATGATTGATGATCGGTTTGATTAGTAAGTAAACCTGCATCCCAAATGCAGAAGGCACGCATTCAGTTTCATCGAGGCGATATTCATGCATGACCCAACCAGTTCTAATACCATGTGGGGCACGTCCACGGTAGTAAACTAATGTTTTCTTGGTCCCAATGGCTCGATCTCTCCAACTCACACGCCGGTCTTTGCCCGTGGCTTTCCAGTAACCGCCTTTTGTTGCCCGGTTCGTCCTTGAACCATTGGGGTATTTTCTGTCCCGTGGGCTGAAGAAGTACCATTCTTGGTCTTTGCTAGGAAGCAGTGACTTCCCTGCCAATTTACATGGTTGAGTTAATTTGAGACAACACTAACTTATATTTTTATTTTAGTATACAAAATACGAATTTAAATTAAGTTTCTATATATATATATATATATGGTTTTAATTTGTTTTGTTCTGTCTTGTATAAAATATGTTTAATATGTTCTCTGAAGATAAAAACCCTAAAGTAAAAAAAGTGTAAACTATATATGATATAAAAAGTGTGGTGGTCCATGAGAGGTTTACGAAAAGTATTTGAGGATTTGACCAAAGGGAATCCTACAATTGCGTATGCTCTAATCAATACTACTATAGTATTATGGTATATATATTGTTATATAATTCATTCAGAAAAACCAAATTCTTCCAATCCAAGTTGAATTGAGAAAAACTAATCCAAACGTTGAATTGATTTTGTTTTTTTTTTTAATGTTAAATAACTTTGATCTTTTGATAAATGAAATAATCAAAACCGGTACCAAAAGTTCCACACAAAAAAATAGCACATGTCGAAAATGATTTTCGAAGAATTGAACGATAAAAAATATAAATATGATAAAAAAAACTCTTGTTAATTTTGAAGGATTTCTACATATTAGTTAAAAAATCACATGATTGGTTTTAAATTAGTGAATTCTATTAAGATTTCAAAATTTTGCTTGGATTTATTTACCAAAAAAAAAAAAATTGCTTGGATTTTGTAATCAATCAAAATATGCAAACCAATATAATTGATGTATTAATTTTGGTCAAGGTGTTCTATTATAGTTGTCTTGTTATTGTGATATTCTTTTTCTTTTCTCCACTCTATCTTTAAAACGATAGAACCAGTGCCGGTCCGAGCATTTGTGAGGCCCTACACGAAAAATAAAATGAGGCCCAATATATTTATAAGTCTTAGGGCTAAATTTTTTTTTGGACCTATTTTTAGTAAATTATACAAAAATAATGATATTTTGAATATTATTACATTCAAATTTAATTGTTTGGGCCCTATTTTATTTATTTTTTTCGAAAAAGACTTTAGTTTCTACCAAATATTTTCATTTTATGGGCCTTTTTACCAAAAAAAAAAAAAAAACTTAAAAAAAAAAAAAAAATTGTGGTGCCCCAAGCGGTGGCTTGGGTGGCCTGTCCTGCGGGCCGGCCCTGGATAGAACCTATGTCAAAACCTATTCAGCGCTTAGACCATAAAGGTCTCATACCAAATTATATACTGATAGATTGACTATGGTTAACTAAATAATTATTACCTGGCAAGTCCCATGGTTCGCACTTGTAGAGGTCTACTTCAGGGATAATTTCTAGCTCGATCTCTTGACCGTTGATCTTTCTCTTGAGATAGTAAGTGATTAGTTCTTCGTCCGTTGGATGGAACCTAAAACCTGGAGGCAATGAGACCGGAGCCATGTATATACTCTTCGACAATATTGAAACCTCTCGTTCGATTCAATGTCGGATTATAAAACAAAACGATTAACGAACGGTCTTGTTTACGAGATATAAACTCTAACAAGACCGATCGTTTTTATTTATAAAAACAAATTTATAAGTATGGTTGGGTAGTAGAGAGAAGGGGAATGATAATAGGAAAACCTTGAGATAACGAAGAAAAGAGAGAAAGACAAATGTTTTGTGTTTTCAGGGCTTGAAGGGTATAGGTTTATAAATGAAGAGGAGAAAGACAAAATTTCATACAGTGGCAGGAAAGTGAAAGGGATATATGATGCCACCCTCAAATAATATATGGAACTTATAATATAAAAAGTAGGGCTACATACCCAATTTGTCTCTCGTCTTTTTGTTTTTTCCTTACACATATTCTGATTCTTACTGTCGTTTTCTTCAAGATTAATAGATAGATAGATAGGTTGTAAAAAAAAATATGTACCCTAATGCAAAACCGTGTTTCTTCATCAAAGTGGTCGCCTCAAATAATCTCATTCTTCTCCAAGCATGGTCAGTTTGGAATGTATCCACGTGGCGGAACATCATTGGCTTCATGGGGGAACGAATCTTGGTTTAACCAATAGAAACTGGTTTCAAATCTTTATGTATGGCGGCGCTTCTAACTGAATAAAACTGTCCCCTTTGTATCGTATCCCCACTTGTGAGAATCCTTTAGTTCCTTCGTGATTGCCGCTGATCGATATGTCATCATCTCAATTATTATATCGTATAGCTATAGCTAATCTCTTTTTGAAATAAAAATAATATACTACTTCATTTTTCATAAGTTGTGATCTCGCATAATTGGCTCGAGTATGGTCGTTTGATTGATCATTAGTATTGGTTTGTTCATCTTCCCTATCTCTTTGTGATATTGTGTTAACTAAGTTATGTCTCCGGAATATGTTTTAATACCACCCAAAACTATATTATAACTTTTTCACAGGGAAAACACCAATCACGTTAAACGAGAATGAGACACAAGTTCGCTCGTTCATGAGCATGTAACATCTAGATGGATATGAAACACATGATAGTGATAAACACATTAGATTCATATGTATAAGTTCACCCATAATTAAAAGGCATAGATGAAACAAAATTTTGTTTAAAGGTATAGAGATGAATAAGCTAAGGTCTCCACATGGTAGATCATGTGGGTCCAGCTCTGTAAGCATGTGAAAAAATCCTTGGAGGCATAGATGGGCCAACCCCAGCATCACTTCTCAGCTTTTCTCATCACCATCATACACTTTTCTGTCATTATGCAAATTCCATATTCTAGATCTATATCTAATTAATTACATATATAATAAGCATTAGCATATAACACATGTATATAACAATTTGTACATACCCTTCTTTACACTTTTCCCTCACATGAATCCATCTTTTTGTTCTTTACTTTTATTTATTTCTCTTTCACACACATCTATAACCTATCTTTAACACATGAATGTATCTTAAATTCCCAAGTTGAGAACATGAATTATTTGAAAATAGTTTCAAAAAAATTATCTAGAAACAAATGTAATTTGCATGACAAAAATCCATACTTTAGAAAAAATTCTGTGTCTCTTTGTCTATGCTGTTGTAAACCACATTACGGATGGACTCCATAACCGTGGCCCATGTCCATGTTCTAGAAGGCCCATGTCCATGTTCTAGAAGGCCCATGTCTATCTTCTAGAAGATTCGCCCAATGACGGTTTATGTTAGTCTTAGTGGGCTTTGGGCTTTAGGGTTTCCTAGTCCAATTGGGATTTGTCTCCCTTATTGTGTATATATATAAGTTGTAACTTCATTCATTAATAAGAGAATATACGAGATTTATAACACGTTATCAGCACGATTTGCTCTTAACGAAAACCCTAAAACCCTAACCCTAAAAATCACGATACTGTTCATCGCCGACACTGTTCATCGCTGATACTGTTCATCGCCGATACTGTTCATCGCCGTACTGTTCATCGCCATACTGTTCATCGCCGTACTGTTCATCGCCGACACTATACATCGCGGCACAGTTCATCGCCGACACTGTTCATCACCGACACTGTTCATCACCGACACTGTTCATCGCGACACTGTTCATCGCGACACTGTTAATCGTGGTACTGTTCATCGTGGTACTGTTTGCGGTTCGTTGCAGCAGCGTAAGTTACCGAGGTCTTTAGCTCCCGGTTCTAGTCCATACAACCCCATAAGGTGAAAGGTAACATCAAAACCCTAAAGCTAAAGAACCAACAATTGAACTTGAAAGTTAAGCAAAGAGAAACCCTAAAACGAATGATGATTGATTAAGTGATTGCTTTGCTTGTATGATTCGATTGCTTGCTTGATCCGATTGCTTGTTTGTTTTCGCTTGCTCGTTTGCCTGTCTTGTTTAGGTTGCTAGAAAGCTTGTTATTGCTTATCCTAAACTCGCAAATCGAAAACATCTTAACATAGAATCCGAAACCCTAAAAGACATAAACCCTAAATTGAAAACACTTTAATCGGATCAAAACCCTAAATTCTAAATCACGTTTGGATGAGGTTGTTTTGTTAGATTGATTGTTTCTTTGTTTGATTTCATGCATAAGTTGTTAGAAACCCTAAAACTAAAATCGCATGAACCCTAGAAAAAAACTTAGAAAAGATAATCCTAAAAGAAAATATTAAAATCCTAAAATCTTAGGGATAATAGAAAATCTTAAAACCCAAAAATCTAAAACTCTTAAATAAAATAGGAAATTCTAAAAACCTAAAATCTTAAATAAAATAGGAAACTCTAAAAACCTAAAATCTTAAATAAAATAGGAAATCTTAAAACCCTAAATCTTAGGGATAATAGGAAATCTTAACAACCCTAAATCCTCATTAAAATAGGAAATCTTAAAACCCTAAAACCCTAATTAAATTAGAAACTTCCTAAAATCTTATTCAAGATAGGAAAACTTTAAGAAATAGAAAATTTCCAAATCCTAATTAAAATAGGAAATCTTAAAATCTAAAATCATAAGTGAAATAGGAAAATTAATCCTAAAGTAAAGAGGAAAGTAAATCCTAAAAAGAAAAAGGAAAATTTAATCCTAATTAAAAGAGGAAATCTAATCCTAAGCAAAAGAGGAAATCTAATCCTAAGAAAAAGAGGAAAGTCAAATCCCTAAGTAAATCGATTCATGGTTCGGTCTCAAATACCGCATGACACTAACGATTACATGATTTTGACTCAAAACTTTTCCTTGTAGATGTTGAATTACAACTTGTACTTTACTGCCCTAAATCTTTTAGGAGATAATTATTTTAAAATGGGCAATGGATACTAAGATTATCCTAAAGTCAAAAGGACTTGGTAAATGTATCTAATAAGGCAATAATGCCAAGAAAGAAAGATAGATACAAGGCAATATTAGCCACCGTCTTATTGAGAGTCTCATAATCAGGACTATAAGTCCATGGATGAGTCTATTGCTAGATGAGCAAAATAATGACTTACAGATAAAAACAGTGAGTTACGACCTCATAGATTAACCCCATTACCTAATGCCAATAAGGCCGCAGAGGATAAGAAAGAATCCAAAGAATATAACCACGTCTAAAGTGATAGACCACACGGTCGTGACCGTGGTGGATGGAAAGGACGTGGTTGTAGCCACTATAACTCATCCGGCCGTGGGAACCACTATAACCGTGGATGTAGACCCAATTCCGGCCGTGGTCGAGGGCGAGGATGATGTGGTATTTCCAAACCACAACACTCGACCAAATGAGTATGCCATAGATGTGGTATTGAAAGGACGTGGTTGTGGCCACTATAACTCATCCGGCCGTGGGAACCACTTTAACCGTGGATGTAGACCCGATTCCGGCCGTGGTTGAGGGCGAGGACGATGTGGTATTTCCAAACCACAACACTCGACCAAATGAGTATGCCATAGATATGGAATGGGAAACCATTGGGCTAAGATATGTAGGACTTCCAAACATCGTTGTGACCTCTATCAAGAGAGTGTAAAAGGGAAGAATCCTAAAGCCCATTTGGTATATAAAGATGGTGAACATGATCAAGATGATCTAATAGAGTATGAAACTTCTGATTGCATAAAAGAATCAAGTTGATAAATCTTACTTCGACATCAAAACCTCTATGTTTTTCTTTGCATTTTATGTGTTTATTGATTGTTATTTGCTTGAATTTATTTTATATTATTTTATGTTTAGAACATGATTCTTGTCCATATAAGAAATGGCCGAGGACAAGAACATAATTGTGGTGGATAGTGGAGCCACACAAAAGATAAGAGATATTTTCCTAAATCTCATAATGAAAAATGCCAATATTAGCACTTAGCGGGCATAGCAAACCTTATTGAGGGCTACGGCCAAGCCCATATTCTATTACCAAATGGCACGCATCTTGAACTAAGCGATGCTTTATATTCACCCAGCTCGAAGAGGAGCTTATTAAGTTTCAAAGATATAAGATTGAATGGTTTCCATATTGAAACAAAAGGTGAAGGGAACAAAGAGATCACCCAAGGACATAAGAAAGTCCTAGAGACTATACCCGCATTACCCACTGGTCACTACTATATTAAAATCGATATGATCGAAGCTAATATGGCAATGAACAAAGAGTTCATCGAGAAATTTACTTTATGGCATGACCGGCTTGGCCATCCGGGTCATAGTATGATGCGTAAGCTTATGATAAATTCAAAGGGGCACACCCTAAAAGAGAAAAGAGTTATCCCTAAGAATCTCACGTGTGAAGCATGTTCACAAGGGAAACTCATTATAAGGCCATCACCGGCTAAGGTAAATAAAGAGACCTTAAAATTTCTGGAAAGGATACAAGGAGATATATGTATGGTCCTCATTGATGCATCGACAAGATGGTCGCATGTTTGTCTCCTATCTACTAGAAACCAAGTGTTTGCTAGGTTATTGGCCCAGATAATAAGACTGCGAGCCCACTTTCCAGATTTTCCGCTTAAGACTATACGTCTAGACAATGCCGGTGAATTCACGTCCCAAGCGTTTAGTGACTACTGTATGTCCATGGGGGTAAGTGTGGAACATCCCGTAGCACATGTACATACACAGAATGGATTAGCGGAATCCTTCATTAAACGAATTCAATTGATCGTTCGACCATTACTCATGAGGTCGAAGCTTCCAGTAGCCGCTTGGGGACACACTGTTTTACATGCATCAGAGCTTATACGCATAAGGCCATCTAGTGAACATAAATATTCACCATCCCAATTACTCATGGGTCATGAGCCAGACATATCCCATCTAAAGACTTTCGGGTGTGCCGTATATGTACCGATTGCTCCACCACATAGAACAAAGATGGGACCTCAAAGGAGGATGGGAATATATGTTGGATTTGATTCTCCCACCATTATTAAGTATCTAGAGCCAACTACGGGTGATCTATTTAAGGCTAGATACGCGGATTGTCATTTGAATGAATCCGAATTTCCTACTATAGGTGGAGAGACGAACAAGCTGGGTAAAGCAATAAAAGAAATATAATGGAATCAAACATCCTTAAATTGGCAAGATCCTCGGACTCTGGCATGAGAATCAGAGGTCCATAAGATTATACATTTGAAAAGCTAGCTAATCAATTGCCAGATTCCTTTGCTGACCCAAAGAAAGTTACAAAAACGTACATACCAGCTTGTAATGCACCCGTACGTATTGATATCCAAAAGGGAATCAATGAAATTGCTACCGAGTCTAACACACGAAAGAAACGTGGTAGACCAATAGGTTCCAAAGATAAAAATCCTCGAAAATCAAAGAAAGGTGCAATAGGAATCCGAGGTTACTAAGGAAACCATCCCAGACATGGAGATAAGGCCGGCCGGCTCTAAGGTACAGGTACCATATAATGTAGCTTGGGACGCCAAGCTGCAAAATACTAAAGGTCCTGACCATAATAAATCTCAAATCGATTATATCATGTCTGGAACATAATGGAACATATAATAAATGTCGACATAAGATAATTTTGCATGCAAGATAGCACTTGAATTTATGAATATAAATGAGGATCAGGAGCCCACGTCTATACTAGAGTGCACTCAAAGACTTGATTGATTAAATGGTACAAGACCATAAAACGTGGAGCTAAGAATCATTAAGAAAAGGAATGAGTTTGGTCCGACCTTAAGGACACCATTCGATGTAAAAACCAGTAGGACACAAATGGGTCTTTGTGAAGAAGAGAAATGAGAATAATGAAATCGTGAGATATAAGGCACGGCTTGTAGCACAAGGATTCTCACAAAGACCGGGGATAGATTATGAAGAAACATACTCCCCTGTGGTGGATGCTAAGACATTTAAATTTTGCTAAGTCTGGCTATATAAAGAAAAAGACTTGATTTGCGGCTAATGGATGTAATGCCTGCATATTTATATAAGTCCACTGGATGATATATATGAGATTACCAGAGGGTATTGAGCTCAAAGATAAAGATAAGAAAGGGTCTCGAGACCAATACTGCATAAGGCTGAACAAATCACTTTATGGACTGAAACAAAGTGGACGCATGTGGTACAATAGATTAAGCGAGTACCTAGTCAGAGAAGGTTATAAGAATGATCCCATTAGTCCATGTATCTTCATAAAGAAATTTGCAAACAAAGGGTTTGTAATAATAGCAGTATATGTGGATGATTTAAACATCCTTGAAACCTCTTGGGAAATCGCCCAAACAGTCAAATATCTAAAGAAAGAATTCGAGATGAAAGACCTAGGCAAGACAAAATTCTGTTTGGGATTGCAACTTGAGTACATGAATAATGGAATCCTTGTGCATCAAAAGGCATATACTGAAAAAGTACTCAAGAGATTCAATATGGACCAGGCCCACCCATTGAGCAGCCCAATGGTGGTGAGAAGCCTCAGATTGGATAGTGATCCATTCGGTCCAAAGAAGGATGAGGAAGAAGTTCTCGATCCTGAAGTGTCATACCTTAGTGCCATAGGAGCGTTAATGTACTTGGCTAGCCATACTAGACCAGACATATGTTTTACCGTGAACCTCCTTTGTCTAAATTTAGTTCATGATCAACCCAAAGGCACTAGAAAGGTTTGAAGGAAGGTTTGGTTAAATTTTAAATTCTATTCTTCCTATGTTTGTTTATTTGGGTTTTATTCTATACTGATCTAACCAAAGAAGGTCTAGTTTGCTTTGGTTTAGTTTGTTTTGCTGATGCAGGTAAGATCAGATTATGGCATGGTCAATAAATAGAAACTACGTGTGGCTTGATCCCTTCCAAGGGTATGTAGGCAGCCTTCTTCAAGGCGCAGCTACTACAACATCAAAGACCATCATATGTGAAGACAACGTAGCCATGTATCGCTCAGCTCAAGGACGGCTACATCAAGGGAGATCGGACAAAGCACATTCTACCTAAGTTCTTCTTCACGCATGACCTACAAAAGGATGGTGAAGTTCAAGTGGTGCAAGTTCGTTCAAGCAACAACTCAGCCGATCTCTTCACTAAAGCACTACCGACAACAACATTAAGGAAGCTCACGCATCAAATTGGAATGCGGAGACTTAAGGACTTACAGGGATGACCAAAACAGGGGGAGTAATGCGTGCTGTACTCTTTTTCCTTCACCGTGGTTTTGTCCCAATGGGTTTTCCTGGTAAGGTTTTAATGAGGCAGCATCCCCAAGCGCATTACAAAGATCCTTTGGCATCTACACGGTTATGTCATCCAAGGGGGAGTGTTGTAAACCACATTACGGATGGACTCCATAACCGTGGCCCATGTCCATGTTCTAGAAGGCCCATGTCCATGTTCTAGAAGGCCCATGTCTATCTTCTAGAAGATTCGCCCAATGACGGTTTATGTTAGTCTTAGTGGGCTTTGGGCTTTAGGGTTTCCTAGTCCAATTGGGATTTGTCTCCCTTATTGTGTATATATATAAGTTGTAACTTCATTCATTAATAAGAGAATATACGAGATTTATAACATATGCTAGCTAATTGGATATTTTAAACTGATCTTGACTGGCTAGTTCATGTTAATTTTCTCACTAGAAAAAATTGAGTAACAAAAATACCAAAAGAGAAAGGTACCGTACATCTGTAAAATTAATAAAGGCTAAAGTCGTTTTAAGAAGGAAAAAAAGTTAAACCATGATCTATCCCATTGTCAATTTTGTCATTTTGATGTCAAATTTGTTTTAGCCAGTTTGCTGGTCAAATGGTCATCCGACCATGGGCTAAGTCTAGTCCAAAATATTATGGACGGTCCGTGGTCAGCCCATAAATAAAAGGGTCATCTGGTCTAAAGACCAATTTTGTCCTTGGACATAATGGGCTAGCCCATACGGACAATTGGTTGGCCCAGTTTCATAAAAAACTAGGGTTATTCAATTTTGGGGAAAAATTAAATCTCTTCAGAATCGCCTTTCTTGTCTCCTCTCTGTTACGGCTTCAGAATCGCCATCGGAAGGTTGGAATCATCATCGGGACGGGTCACGAACCGGAGCTCCGTTTAGTTTCGAACTCGCTACCGATTCCGAGTTGTATGAGCAACAATCATCATCATCGTGTTGCGTGTTTATCCTTTTTGGTCCCAGGTGAATTTCTGAAACAATCTTAGCGTTTCTGAAACAATCTTAGCTTTTCTGAAACAATCTTAGCTTTTTGGATCTGAGGAGAGCTAGCTAGCAAGTGGGCACTTTTTAGATTTTGTTTATGTTTCGCCATTTTGAATTTCATTCTATGATTGTTATATGTAGTCTCTGTTGTTGCCGGAACATATAGATATCATCCTTGGTTTGTATTAGAATCGGCTCAGTTTTATTGATTAATAAAGATTCTGAAATTAATAGAGATTTTGAAATGAATAGGCTCAGTTTTATTGATTAATGGCTGGTTTTTGTATTGGAATCGACTATTTTACTGATTTTCACTTTTGTTTCTAGCAGAAGAGAGTATAATTTTAATGAATCTGATATGAATATTTAGTTGGTATAGTACGAGAGTTCATGGAGTTAGCATCTTGAATCTTGAATGGCTCTTAAGTAGATTGTTTAGCTCAGAGTTTCAATCAGGTTTAGCTCAGGGACTTGTTCTTCTGTAGTAGCTATCTAAAAACACAATCAAATTTTCGAAGAACAGAATGATGTGCAAGACACAATTCAGATCATGGACTTCAGATTCCTGCGAGACTACGTTCTAGTCTAGCTTCTCATTTTTCTTGTTTGCAAGTCTAGTTGATAGCTGTTAACCACCTTGATGTTGTTTATATGGGTTGTCACAAAATATTGTAAAAATATCAATTAGTTTGTTCTTGTGTGTATCTTTAAAAATATCAATTGTCTATTATGTTAAACCTGTGTTACTAACGTGTCTGCTCTGCATTGTGCTGCAGAAGAGCAGGAGCTAGGTGGATGCGCTTGACAGCCAAAGCTTAAAGACAACCGAAAAAATAGGAGTCATTCAAGTATCTGAAAAGGTCTTACACTTTATCAGAGATAAGGTCAGAGTCTTTTCTACATTTGTAATCTATTTATTTTTCCTCTCTTGCTTCCAAATGTAAGCTTATGTTTAAGCTCGTAATTGATTCTTGAGATTCTTGTTCTTATCTAGTTGACTTGAAGAAGCTGCTTTACAAATCTAAGTGTGTGTATCTTAGCCTCTGATTAGGATTATTCTACATTTCAGTCTTATGGTAGAACATGCGAGTATCTTTTCACTTCTGGCTGAAAGTTGCTCTCTTTTTTTTGTCAGTTTGTCACTGCTAAACGTGTTTATGTTTCTTTTTTAACCTTATTTAGGTACTTGGTAAATTCTTTGGCTGATTCATGTATGTGTTTAATTGTTTCAGAAATATGGAATTTGATACTCAAAACTTGGTTGATGAAGACTATAGAGAATTACATACTTGTTGATGAAGTCTATGTCAATCGATGCTTTTCTTATCAAAGTTTGAAATTTGATTTTACGAGTTTTATAATCAGATTAATGTAGTGAAATTAAAGTTAACGTCACAATTAAAATCACTTCTTAATGGATTCATAGGTTCATGTGTAGCTTTTGTCTTTGTATTGTTTTAAAAGAATGGGCTGACCATTGGACATGGTCCTTAATGGGTTTTGACAAGTTTTTAGACTATTGTCCATTAAAGACCAAACCATTAGAGCCCATGAAAATAATGGTCCAAATGGACATGACCATTGGGCTTTGGACAGCCCATTTGACAGTTCTAGTTATACTTCCGGGTTAGAATTTTGAGAGGTTTTTACCGGTAACCAATCCGGATAGACATTCGAGTCACTGTTCTACCGGTTTAATTGTCAAACGACGACGTTGTCACGCACAGTACTTAATCACAAAAACCTCACAAAACCTCTTTCGTTCCCGTCTCCTCCAGAACCAGTACAACCATGGTCGACGCCGAAATTGAAATCTTTCGAGGTTACGAGCTCCGTCTCCTCCGGTGCACCGTCTCGTTAACACAATCAGATCCTCCTCTCGAATCGCAGTCCGGAGTTCATCCATACGACTCTCTTATAAGGTCCCTTTTGTCTTCAATCGAGGCTGGGGACTATCTTGGAGCTCTAGCCTCCGACGCTACTAGGCTAATAATCGGAGATTCCGAGTTCGAAGTAGTTGATACGGTTGATTCCGCTGAGCGAGTTTACTCCGAGCTTCTCTACAAGGTCGAATCGTTCGTGTTAAACGAATCTTCAGATGAAATCGATAAGGCTCGCCGTGCTGTTCTGGTGATGTGCTTAGCAATTGCGGCTGCTTTTTGGTTCACTCGGTGCAATTTGACCGGGTAAGTTACCGAGTTTAACTCCTCCCAAGATTTATGAATTTCCAATATTGAGAGATTTGGACTCTTTTACTAAGTTTCTGAAGAATTGGATTCTGGTTATTTGCAAATTCTCATCAGAGGCTTTTTTTTGTTTTTTTGAACTGCTAGGTCGACAGAAGGATCAACAAAATGTTCGTTACCGTTTGTAGTATCAGAAAGTAAAGAACTAGTTGAATGGGAGAACTGGGCTAAGATTCAGCTCATGTCTGTTGGTTCTGACTTGCTCGGGAAGTTTTTTAATCTCCAGGTATTACCTTCGTGCTGCTGCATTTTTCATCTGCTAATTCAATTTCATAAAATCAAGCTGCGTTGTTGTCCCAGTCTTTATTTGTGTTTCGGAAAGTGCTATTTGATGTTTGTTGGACGTTAATGTTTAAAAGGAATAAACCAAATGTGTTATTTGTCCACACAAACTTGTTGTTTTTGCTTGTCTTATAGTAGAATGATCTTATCTTTCCTGCTCTTTGGTCTGCATCAAGATGACTTTATCCTGGAAGGGTCTAAACTGTGTATTATAGGCTTCTTAGCATTCGTTTCTGTTTGCTAGTACGTGAATTAACTTACATATGTGTACATTATATATTAGTAGCAATCGGAAGTAGTCCTGATCTGTCTTTGTTTGTATTAACTAGTGAACTCTATGTAACCCAAACTACTTTTTTATCCTGCAGCATTTAGTTTTTGCTAGAATGCTGCTGTTAAAGTTGAAAGATTTGTTGTTTGAGACAACTGCAACTGAAACTTTTGAATTAAGGAGTATTTCATGGTGGCTTGTCAGAGTTTTACTTATCCATCAAAGAGTTCTACACGAGCGATCTTCATCTTTGTTTGAGATGTTGCAAGTTTACATGGCCGAAGCTCTAGACCATTTTGGAGCATTGGAAAAAGTTAAAAGCTACTGGGGTGCCAAGTTGCTAGAAGACGAAGCTTCATCCATCACGTCAACCATCCATCTGGAGGCATGTGTACTGCAATATATATATGGAAGGATTGATCCTGCTCGGTAAGTTACCGTTGAGACAATATTGTATTTACCTTCATCCTATATGTTTATAGCTTTTTGTCCTCGGATATTTACCAGATTACTTTGGTTTCGCATTATGGTTCCTTTTTTAAGAAAATAATGAGAGGTTTGCGACTCATGTACTTACGAAATTGAGCTTGCATAGCACATATGTATATAGTTGTTGCTGCTCTCATTTTTGATAGCTATCACATACCATTTCATGACCTTTTATCGACCTACTCCTTTAGTATATTGGTCTTGATTCGGGGTAAAATTGTCAGGTTGCAGCTTGAATCTGCTAAAGCAGCAGCAGGGCTAGAGTTCTCTGTTACCGGGGCTCTTGGATTTCGTACTATTCACCAAGTAAGATATAAGATACATTTTTTCTGTTATATATATATATATATATTCGGCTATGTTATTATTCTAAATTCTTCTGATCTTGCTATAGGTAGATCCAAAGGCTCAGATGGTATTGGTAGCCAATACTAGCTCATCCAATGGGGATGTGAGGTTGGCCTCTGAGAAAGCTGATGTTGGACCTTATGAGGCTTGGGGAGGTGAAGCACCTGAAGTATATATGACTCCCAAACTAGTGAACAACGAGAGTGAAGCTGGGAAAGATTCTGTGCCCTTAAAACCAGTTGAACAGGCATTGATTTTGGCCCAGTGCCTTCTAATTGAAAGGGGTAGTCGGCACGATGAGATGCAAAGTAAGTGAAGTAGAATTTAAGTGTATTTGCAATTTTTATTTCTTCAAAATTTAATGCTCCATGGAGAGCTTAGGTGGAAAGATAAAGAAGAACATTAACAATTCTGCCTAGTCAATTCAGTTACAAGGCATTATTGTGACTGCAATTCAAAAAGCTTGTAGATTCTTGTTACGGTGTTGCAAAATAACTACAGAGATCATGAAGCTTGCTTCTTTGTCGACTAGTTTTACTCACTTGTCTTGTGCTGAACTAAACCATTTCTTTTGTATTATTTATATATTCTACTACTTTATTTTCTCTGCAGGATGGGATATGGCTCCATATATTGAGGCAATTGATTCTCAAAAGTCAACACATTTTGTTGTAAGTTTCAATCTTTCAGTTAATTAATTCTTACAAAGTGACTGAATTTAAATGTTGATGTATGGCGCTGTTGGTTATTCATTTCGTCACAACCTATGCAAGTAAAACAAACTGACTGACTTTTGTTCTTCGGACATGGGATTAGCTACGGTGTTTTTGTGACTTATTACGTGTTCGATGGGAATCAACTAGAGGTCGTACAAAGGGGCGCGCCCTGGAGATGATGGATAAATTGGTAAATGTGAACAGTGCTCGTATTATCAATTTTGGTTTTCTTTTTGGATTGTATATCTATCTGGCTGAAACACTCATTTTGTAGCGTTATTGATTCCTTCCTAAAGTGTAGCTCTGATAATTTTCCTTTATCAGGTTGGAGCTATTAACAAGAGCGATCCTGGAGTATCAAACCGGATCCCTTTATGCTATGCAGTCCATCTTCCTACTATTTCTGCTTTGAGAAAGTAGGATATTCCCTATATGTGCATGTATAGATATCCTTTTCAGGTTTTTCTGCAGTCTTATTAATCGTTCCATTTTAATTTTTAAACAACAGGGAATACGGTGAGCTTCTGGTGAGTTGTGGTTTGGTTGGGGAAGCGATCACAATATTTGAGAGCCTGGAATTGTGGGATAATCTAATCTACTGCTACTGGTAAACTAAAAATTTGAATACTGCGTTTGTGATGAATTCAGCTTCATCTTTATCCCCTTTACCTCAATGGCTTCTATGTTCTGTTGCAAAACTTATAAAGCGACTTGAAATTTCAGCCTTCTGGGAAAGAAATCAGCCGCTGTAGATCTCATCAATGCACGGCTTCTTGAACGGCCGAATGACCCAAGATTATGGTAATCTATTCTTTGATAGTACCCTTAGTCTGTTCTTTTCATGTTGTTTATATATCTTAATTAAGAAATGGCTGTGAAGTGCCATAATTATCTGCTTCGAACGTTAATCATTTATGTGCAGATATTTCTTTAGTCTCTGTATATATATACTAGAAAGTTATTATCGGATCGGATCATTATATTAAATTTGATGATAAATATTGGTTTCAGGTGTTCACTGGGTGATGTTACGATTAATGATTCCTGTTATGAAAAAGCCCTGGAAGTTTCAAATGATAAGTCAGTTCGTGCTAAGGTAGTTTGAGACACAAAGCAGAAAAATCTTTTATGTCCTTCTCTCTTAGTCCATGCTCTAATTATCTTCATCTTGCAGCGGGCTCTTGCACGCAGCGCATACAATCGCGGTGATTTTGAGAAGTCGAAGATGCTGTGGTATGTTGAACAATTTGGTTCTGTCCTCTTTTTTTTTCTAAAACGGAAATGGATTTATGAACTTGGCCCTTCAGGCTGATTTATTTGTGAAATTTCTCATTTTTTCTCGTACTTTAGGGAGGCTGCAATGGCCTTAAATTCTCTGTACCCAGATGGTTGGTTTGCTCTTGGTGCTGCTGCATTGAAGGTATCTTACTTCATCTTCTCCAATAGTTCAGTAGCAATATGTTTCCATTCCAAATGAAAGAGAGGTATACTAATTTAACATCTCCTACATGATACCATAGGCCAGGGATGTTCAGAAAGCACTGGATGCATTCACTTTTGCTGTTCAACTTGATCCCGACAATGGGGAGGCTTGGAACAACATTGCTTGTCTGTAAGTAATTCAGTTTCACTATTTCTGCTCTGTTTGTGCTGAAATTACTGAGAAAATTAATTGTTTTCTTCACGCATACCTTACTCTTTTTATTTTCACGACTCACTGCTCACCTACTTTATGTTTCACATTTGTAATGGATGATGCTTAATGTGTAATAATCTGTGAGTGCAGGCATATGATAAAGAAAAAGAGCAAAGAATCATTCATTGCGTTCAAAGAAGCACTTAAATTCAAGTATATCTCTATCCTTTACGGTTTGTTACTTGAGATAAGAAAATCAGAGTTAGTAATCGAAAAATATTGTGTATCATCAGGCGAGATAGCTGGCAGATGTGGGAGAATTTCAGTCATGTAGCTATGGATGTGGGAAATCTTGATCAGGTAAAATGTAGCTGTTAATTAAAAATTATATATTCTACTCTTATATAAAAACCTCAGCTGTTAGCTCCCCACATATTTGTTTTCTTTTAGCTTAGGAGTTAAACGAATTGGTTTCATCTTTGTGCTGTTTCTCTTCCAGGCCTTTGAAGCTATACAACAGATACTGAAAATGAGCAAAAACAAGAGGATTGATGTTGTTTTATTGGACCGTATAATGACAGAGTTAGAAAATAGGAATTCAGCATGTAAGTCATCTTCATCGATTGAAACCGAAGCTTCTTCAGATGAATCAACAGAAACAAAACCATGTACTGCAACACCAGCTGAAACTCAACGCCACCTAGAGTTGCTTGGGAAAATTATTCAGCAGGTTAGCAAAACATTTCAACAACTAGTATGGATCTCTGTGATGTCCCACTCTTTGACGGATGCATTTGATATAGCTTTGTATAGTCCTTTATGTGATTCTTTCTTTTGTTAATCTCTTTTATAGATTGTCAAAACAGAGAGTACATCTGAAATCTGGGGATTATATGCAAGATGGAGTAGAATCAAAGGAGATCTTATGGTATGCAGTGAGGCACTGCTAAAGCAAGTGCGATCATATCAGGTATCTAGTGACTGATGACTTACCGAAGCCACTCTTTTGTATCTATGAGCAGCATTTGATGACATATTGATATCTCTGTCAGGGATCAGAAGTGTGGAAAGACAAAGAGCGTTTCAAGAATTTTGCAAGAGCATCATTGGAACTTTGTAGAGTGTACATGGAAATCTCAGTGTCCACAGGAAGCAAACGAGAACTGTTTAGTGCTGAGATGCATTTGAAGAACACAATCAAACAAGTAATAACCCAAACTTATCATTTATTAATCCCCACAATACTTACTAAGCTTTTTGATCAGAGTGAATAAATGGCTGACATATGTATATGTGTAGGCTACAGTGAGCTTCTTGGACACTGAAGAATTGAAGGAACTTGAATGTTGCCTTGAGGAGGTGAGAAATGTAATGCAGAAGAGTGAAGAAGTGACTAGAAATACAAAAACATGAAAGAAGAAAAGACTTGTCACTGTCATCATAGGTTAGCATTTGATTTATGGGTGTTGTTGTAAAATTAATCATTTTGTTGGTTGGGTTAAAGACATTGTTGAGATCATAACTTAATGGTTAATTTTTGCGGTTATACGAGTTTTGAAGTTGCATGTTTCTGATATTCCTTTGGGGATGCAGATTGCAGACACAGATGATAACTTAATGGTTCTTTTGAGGTCCTTGGTATAAAACAGATATTCCGAATCTCAATCTTTTGTACGTTTATGTGTCTTCATCCTTTATATCTTGATCGGCACATTACCGAATCATGATGTGCTTCTGAGCAGGAGATTTGGATTATCGCAACATCTCCCTCTCAAACGATCTTTCGCTTACTCTTCCGGATCGAAATTGCAGGTTACCATGGCATGGCCGAGGTTGAAAATCTTGTAAAAACGTCAACAGAGGAGACAGACAAGGAGGAAGAGAGGACAGATGATAAAAAGGAGGAAGAGGTTTCACTACCTCCGCCCCCGGAGAAACCAGAGCCTGGCTATTGTTGCGGCAACGACTGCTTCCGATGCGATTGGGATGTCTATTATGAGAAGCTCGAAGAATGCAATAACAAGCTTTCTAAAAAAATTAAATCCATTTTAGTGAATGGCTTATTTTTTTCTCGCATTGTTACTGGAAAAATTAAACAATTGTCTTTAATGCTGTGCTTTGTTGAACAACGTTTTGGATCCTCCTATGAACTTGAGAGCTGATTGACTTGTGAACAGAAGAAAGTAGTGATTATTATAATTAAATGATTTCATTCAAATTTGCCCAGAGGGGAAAACCCTTATTTAACAAATGTTTAAATAGACCTTAATTACGGTCCAAGTAAATTGGAAACTTTCTAGTTTCTATTCATACTTAGGAACACAATTAATTATAAATCAAATCGATCAATATATAGACGATATTCCCACCGAAATTAAAATTGGAAAGTTTACAGAAAAAAAAAACCCTAGCTAAGAGATTTGTGGAAGCTTCCGAATATAGATAGATCATTTACCTTCTTCTTTGCTTATTACGACGCAACAAAGCACTCTTGATTTCGTGTTCTCTCAGTAGATTATTTTATTCGAACAACTTTTTTCACTAATCACAAAAACCTCTTTCGTTCCCGCCTCCCCCCACAGAACTGTACAACCATGGTTGACGGCGAAGTTGAAACCCTTCGAGGTTATGAGCTCCGTCTCCTCCGGTGCACCGTCTCTTTAACACAACCAGATCCTCCTCTCTTATCCCAGTCCGGAGTTCATCCACACGACTCTCTTATAAGGTCCCTTTTGTCTTCAATCGAGGCTGGAAACTATCTTGGAGCCCTAGCCTCCGACGCTACTAAGCTAATACTCGGCGATTCCGAGTTCGACCTGGTCGACTCGGTTGATTCCGCTGAACGAGTTTATTCCCAGCTTCTCGACAAGGTCGAATCGTTCGTGGTGAACGATTCGTCAGATGAAATCGACAAGGCTCGCCGTGCTGTTCTGGTGATGTGCTTAGCAATCGCGGCTGCTTTGTGGTTCACTCGGTGCAATTTGACCGGGTAAGTTACCGAGTTTAACTCTTCACAATATTGAGAGATTTGGACTCTTTTACTAAGTTCCTGAAGAATTGGATTTCTGGTTATTTGCAAATTCTCATTGAGGCTTTTGTTTGTTTATTGAGCTGTTAGGTCGACGGAAGGATCAACAAATTCTGTACCGTTTAAAGATTTAGTTGAATGGGAGAACTGGGCTAAGATTCAGCTCATGTCTGCAGGTTCTGACTTGCTCGGGAAGTTTTCTAATCTCCAAGTACTACTATTTTCGTGCTCCTCTATCTTTTCGTCTGCTTATATCCATAGTCGGTGATGATTATATCCTGGAATGGAAGCTTTGTATCCTAGGCTTCGTAGCATTCATTTCTGTCTTTGCTTGTAGTGAACTCTGTGTAACCCAAACTACTTTCTTCTCCTGCAGCATTTAGTTTTTGCTAGATTGCTTCTGTTAAAGTTGAAAGATTTGTTGTTTGAGACAACTGCAACTGAAACTTTTGAATTAAGGAGTATTTCATGGTGGCTTGTCAGAGTTTTACTTATCCATCAAAGAGTTCTACACGAGCGATCTTCATCTTTGTTTGAGATGTTGCAAGTTTACATGGCCGAAGCTCTAGACCATTTTGGAGCATTGGAAAAAGTAAAAAGTTACTGGGGTTCCAAGTTACTAGAAGACGAAGCTTCATCCATTACGTCAACCATCCATCTGGAAGCATGTGTACTGCAATATATATATGGAAGGATTGATCCTTCTCGGTAAGTTACCATTGCGACAATATTGTCTTTGCCTACATCTTACATGTTTGTAGCTTTTTATGCTAGGGTTAAGTTATGGCCTCTCATGTAGTTATGAAGTTGAGCTTGTAACGCACATATGAAGTTGTTGCTGCTCTCATTTCTAATAGCCATCACATACCATTTCATGACCTTTTATCTACTCTTCTGCTTCAGTATATTGGTCTTGATTCAGAGTAAATTGTCAGGTTGCAGCTTGAATCTGCTAAAGCAGCAGCAGGGCTAGAGTTCTCTGTTACCGGGGCTCTTGGATTTCGTACTATTCACCAAGTAAGATATGAGATATATTTTGTCTGTTATATAGATTCCGTTATGTTATTCTAATTTCCTCTGATCTTGCTATATAGGTAGTACCAAAGGCGCAGATGGTATTGGTAGCCAATACTAGCTCATCCAATGGGGATGTGAGGTTGGCCTCTGAGAAAGCTGATGTTGGACCTTATGGAGCTTGGGAAGGTGAAACACCTCAAGTATTTATGACTCCCAAACTAGTGAACAACGAGAGTGAATCTGGCAAAGATTCTGTGCCCTTAAAACCAGTTGAACAGGCATTGATTTTGGCCCAGTGCCTTCTAATTGAAAGGGGTAGTCGGCACGATGCAATGCAAAGTAAGTGAACTCGAATTCAAAAGTATTTGCAATGTTTATTTCTCAAAACCTTTATGCCCCATGGAGAGCTTAGGTGGAAAGATAGAGAAGAACATTAACGATTCTGCCTACAATTAAGTCACTAGGCATTAGTTGTGACTGCAATTCAAAAACCTTGAATAGAGAAGATGCAATTGTCTGCTCTTGTTTCTGTTGAATCTAATACCTTTTTTTTTTTCTGCAGGTTGGGATATGGCTCCATATATTGAGGCAATTGATTCTCAAAAGTCAACATATTTTGTTGTTAGTCTTCAGTCTTTCGGTTAATTAAAGTGACTGTATTTACATGTTGATGTATGGAGCTGTTCGTTTTTCATTTTGTCACAACCTATCCAACTAAAACAAACTGACGGACTTTTTGTCCTTCCTACATGGAATAGCTACGGTGTTTTTGTGACTTATTGCGTGTTCGATGGGAATCATCTCGATATCGTACAAGGGAACGCGCCCGGGATATGATGGATAAGCTGGTATGTGTGAACAGCGCTCGTACTTATCAATTTGGTTTTCTTTTTGGATTGTATATCCTCCTGGCTTAAACACTCATTTTGTAGCATTATTTCATTCCGTCCTTTATTGTAGCTCTGATAGTTTTCCTTTATCAGGTTGGAGCTATTAGCAAGAGCGATCCTGGAGTATCAAATAGGATCCCTTTATGCTATGCAGTGTATCTTCCTACTATTCCTGCTTTGAGAAAGTAGGATATTCTGTTTATGTGCATGTATAGATATCATTTTCGGGTTTCTCTGCGGTCATATTCATCGTTCCATTTTGATTTATCAACAGGGAATACGGTGAGCTTCTGGTGAGTTGCGGTTATGCTGGGGAAGCAATCACAATATTTGAGAGCCTGGAATTGTGGGATAATCTAATTTACTGCTACTGGTAAACTAAAATATGAATACTGCGTTTGTGATGAATTCAGCTTCGCTTGTTTTGATTTAATGAATATGGCTTTCATCTTCTGTTGCAAAACTTATTATGTTCTGTGTTAGCTCCATGCAAAAGAAATCAGCGGCTGTACATCTCATCAAAGCACGGCTTCATGAACGCCCAAATGACCCAAGATTATTGTAATCTATTCTCTGATAGTACTCTTTGTCTGTTATTTTCCTGTTGCTTATATATCGTGATTATTAAATGGCTGTGAAGTGCCATAATTATCTACTTTGAATGTACTCTTAATCTATGTGCGGATATTTCTTTGATATTTGTTTATACTAGGAAGTTATTATTGTATCATAACATTAAGAAATTTGATGATAAAAATTGGTTTCAGGTGTTCATTGGGTGATGTTACGATTAACGATTCCTGTTATGAAAAAGCCCTGGAAGTTTCAAATGACAAGTCAGTTCGTGCTAAGGTATTTTGAGATACAAAACAGAAAAATCTTTTTTGTCTGTCTCTTTTGGTCCATGCTCTAATTATCTTCATCTTGCAGCGGGCTCTTGCTCGTAGCGCATACAATCGCGGTGATTTTGAGAAGTCGAAGATACTGTGGTATGTTTGAACAATTTGGTTCTTTCCTTATTTTTTTTCTCTACAACGGAAATGGATTTATGAACTTGGCCCTTCAGGCTGATTTACTTGTGAGATGTCTCATTTTTTTCTCCTACTTTAGGGAGGCTGCAATGTCCTTGAATTCTCTGTATCCAGATGGTTGGTTTGCTCTTGGTACTGCTGCGTTGAAGGTATCTTACTTCATCTTCTCCAATAGCTTAGTAGCAATATATTTCCACTCCAAATGTAATTTGATAAACAATTGGAATTCTTGTCATGCTGGATGAGAGATATACTAATTTAACATCTCCTACATGATACCATAGGCCAGGGATGTTCAGAAAGCACTGGATGCATTCACTTTCGCTGTTCAACTTGATCCTGACAATTGGCAGGCTTGGAACAACATTGCTTCTCTGTAAGCATTTCAGTTACACTATTCTGCTCTGTTGGTGCTGAAATTGCCCAGAAAATTAATTGTTTTCTTCAAGCATGCCTTACTATTTAACTTCGTGACTCACTGCTCACCTACTTTATGTTTCATATACTATGGATGATGCGGAATATGTAATATTTTATGGGTGCAGGCATATGATTAAGAAAAGGAGAAAAGAATCATTCATTGCGTTTAAAGAAGCACTTAAATTAAAGTATCTCTCTATCCTTTACCGTTATGTAACTTGAGTTAAGAAATCAGAGTTAGTAACTGAAAAATATTGTGTATCAACAGCCGAGATAGCTGGCAGATATGGGAGAATTTCAGTCATGTAGCTATGGATGTGGGGAATACTGATAAGGTATATGCGGCTAATTACGTAAAAATAATATTTTCGGCCCTCGTATATCTGTTTTATATTAGCTTAGGAGTTAGGCAAGTTGGTTTCATCTATGTGCTTTTTTCCTTCCAGGCCTTTGAAGCTATACAACAGGTACTGAAATTGAGCAAAAACAAGAAGATTGATGTTGTTTTATTGGACCGTATAATGACAGAGTTAGAAAATAGGAATTCAGCATGTAAGTCATCATCTATTGGGAGAACCGGAGATCGACCGAGATCGACGGTCGAGACGATTGCCCAAGAATATGGAAATCATGCCGGAGATTACGATTCGGTTTGGGTTGATCTCATCGATCTCCCAATATCATCTTTATCGATTGAAATCGAAGCTTCTTCAGATGAACTGACGGAAACAAAACAGTGTGCTGCAACACCAGCTGAAACTCAACGCCACCTAGAGTTGCTTGGGGAAATTATTCAGCAGGTTAGCAAAAGATTTCAACAACTAGTGTGATGTCTCACTCTCTGGGTGAAACTCCTGGCAGATGCATTGGATATGGTTTTGTATTGTCATTTATGTGATTCTTGCTTGTTTTTGTAGATTGTCAAAACAGATAGTACATCTGAAATCTGGGGATTATAAGCAAGATGGAGTAGAATCTCAGGAGATCTTACGGCTTGCAGCGAGGCACTGTTAAAACAAGTGCGATCATATCAGGTATCCAATGACTGATGATTTACGGAAGCTACTGTTTTATCTATGAGCAGCATTTGATGACATATCGATGTCTGTCAGGGATCAGAAGTGTGGAAAGACGACGACCGTTTCAAGAAGTTTGCAAGAGCATTATTGGAACTTTGTAGAGTGTACATGGAGATGTCAGTGTCGACAGGAAGCAGACGAGAACTGTTGAGTGCTGAGATGCATTTGAAGAACACAATCAAACAAGTAATAATAACCCAAACTTACCATTTATTAAACCCCACAATACTTACTCAGCTTTATATGATGAGAATGAATAAACGGCTGACATATGTGCTTGTGTAGGCTAGAGAGAGCTTCCCGGATACTGAAGAATTGAAAGAGTTTGAAAGTTGCCTTGAGGAGGTGAGAAATGTTATGCAGAAGACGGAAGAGAATAGAAGAAATACAAAAACATGCGGAGTGTTTTAACAGAGATCATTTTTGTTGTTTTGAGATGCTATATCTTAATGGTTTTTTTTTTTTTTTTTTTTTTGCGGTTACTTGTAAGAGTTTTGAGTTCACATATATCTGAAATTCCTCAGGGGATGCAGAAGCAGATAATAATCACATCTCATCTTATATACCTGCATTCTCCTCGTTTCATGTCTGTAATAACATAGAATGGAGATAGAAATATATCAAAGTCATTGCGCAGCTGAAGTTGTTGGTTCTCTCGATCGCACAAGTGATTAAAATTGATCATTGTGTTCGAAAAAGATGACGTGCCGTTTTGACGTTTAGAAGATAAAAATGCGTGCCGTTTATATGATTGGCGGCTTTTTTGGCAAACTATAGGATGACCGATGACAGGTCGTCAATTCTGACACGAAAAAAAGGAAATAGAAAAGAGAGGCCAAATCTTTTTGATCTGTGCCTGTGCGTATGGTTGTTGTGTCTCTTCATCGAATCTCGATCACCACATCACCGGGTTCTAGCCTTCACGATGTGCTTTTGAGCATGAGATTTGGATTGACGCGGCGACATCTCCCTTTGAAGCGACCTTTCACCAATTATTCAATCACTTCCGTATCTCCAGAACAACAGCTCATATCGCCGGTGACCATGGCGACGACCGAGAGCCAAAATCTTGTACAAGCTTCCAAGGAGGAGACAAACAAGAAGGAGGTAGAGGATACGAAGGAGATTTTGGCTCCTCCGCCGCCGGAGAAACCAGAGCCTGGCGATTGCTGCGGTAGCGGTTGCGTCCGATGCGTTTGGGATGTTTATTACGAAGAGCTCGAAGATTACAACAAGAAGCTTTCTGGAGAAACTAAATCCGTTTGACTTAATTGCTGAGAGATTTTTTTTTTGTCGCATTATTGTTGATGGAGAAATTAAACATTTGCCTCTTTGTCTATTTGATGATTCTGTGCTTTGTTGAACTCTTGGGCTGATTTACTCGTGAATAGAAGAAAGTAGTGATTATTATACTATCGACCATAAATAAATGATTTCAATCAAATTTGCCCAGAGTGAAAACCGTCAAGTAACAAGATGTAAAAGAACTATTTCTAATCTTTCTACTTTTTCCTGTATACAACAAATCATTGATTCTTTTGGTTTTGTAAGACCGAACGATAAAGCAATTTGATCAATTCACAGATGGATTGTGACTGCAGAGAACCTTACTTCACCTTTGTGGAGCTTTCACAAGAACACAGATATGGAGATAGAATTCTGGGTTCATCAAGTTATTTACCACCCACGAAAACGGTATCTCTAGCTTCATTTCTATCCCTTGGATCCTTACCAATTTGATTTCACCCGTCTCCCTCGAACCATCTGCTTCTTCTGTATCATCCATGCTTCTTTCTTCTCCACTCGTTTGCGCTCTGTCTCCCATGAACTCAGGGAGGAGACTTTCAATGGCGTCACGTAAGGTAAAGCATTTCCCTGTTAGATGCTGGAGGAAATCAGTTATCTCACTCAAGAACAGTTGGATTCACTCTACATAGAAACTTTGGGTTCTTTTCAATGAATAAGATAATAAGAACAGTGTGGATCTTTAAGATGAAATTCTTACCTTCTTCTCTGAGGAACTCAACAGGGCGATTTAGGTACGAGATGTCATCCCAGGTATCGATCTCCAGTACATCTTCAAGATTCTCAAAATCTTTATTTATACTTCGAACATATAACCGAACAGGAATTCTTGCTGAAAAAGGGGTTATATATTAAATTAGGACGCTAGCACTTTGTATCATGTTAGCCAACGCTGCAATAGATGCACCAATTTGTGAAAGGTCATTATTCTATTCCTACTAAATTGTTGCTGTTTACAGAATTTATCAGAAGAGGGAAAACTACTATTTACTAGCATTGTGAGACTACTTTTCCAAATATGGGAAAATTTGACAAGGTATAACTGTCTCAGCTGAGTATATAGTTGGCAAACCTGTCTTAACTTGACCAGCCACATCTGTCTCAGCCACAACTTGTCCAGATTGTGGAGATGACAAACTTGTTGTCCTTGAAAACTCATCTTCAACTGTTCCCATTTTAAGCTTGGGTGATAATCTTGTATATGCATCAAGATCACCTGCCAAACCATCAGTTTACAAACTCAATACTAAATCAGTCATGAATATCGAAAGGTTATACCATGATTGATGCAAATAGTGACATTGGCAATGCTGAACGCAAAAGCTACACCTACATCTAGTGGCAACTATAGTTATGACCAGAAGCAGTGGTGTAACAAAAAGGAAAAAGGTTTTGTGAGTGCTAGTATTTTATATGCCTAACATCGTCCACTCGTACCGTTCATGACAGAAGTCCATAGATCCTCTTGATCACTCTGAGACATATTCATAACATTCTTGCAATTTCCATTGATGATATATTGTGCCTGCAGGATAAGTGGATAACATTATCTCAGACATGTCAAAACTTCTTATCATTTACCATTTGTCTTACTTAGGGCAGGAGTGAAGCATTGTTAAAATATAACACAAGAGAAGCCTATGGCTACTACATTAGGTAATGGCAAACCAATTGCAGCAAAACTAACAAATTAGTAAACAACACTATTCGCGGTTATAACCAGCTACACCTACACAGTGTCACAGTGTATCCCAAAGGTAACAAATATTTCACTGTTGTACGATGTGAAATCCAATGGAACAGTATATATAGTCTATTCCGAATTAATTTGAACATAGACTTTCACTAAAAATGAAAAGAAAGTCATAAAATTTGAAGAAATTTTCACAAACCTCTTTCAAAGAATTAACAAAGTTCCATTTTACGGAATCTTCTCCTTCACATGGTATCAGAATGTTGCTAGGATATCCTCTAAAGTGTATCTGCAACCAAAATTTTCAGAAAAGCTCAAGAACTGCAAAGATAAAAAGGAGGTAATATTTGTGCATCTAGCTAGTCAAGATGGACTGGTGAAAGATCTTGCTAATAACATACTACGACTGTCATACATAGTGGCGCACAACAAAGAGGGATTACAAGACATAGTGGATCATTAACATTGTCCTCTTAAGCTTAGATTACAAGAATAGTTAGCCCTCAGGCTTACTTAAGATCCTAATACAGATTTCAATCTGAAAAATTACCGTCAGATTCCAAGGTCTTTCTGGTTCTGCGCAAAGGAGATCGAAAAGAACACCAGTTGGTATATACCTGCAACCAAAGAAGAATCTCAACTCTCACATAAACATATCACAAAAGAAAAACAGTTAAATTCCCATTATAGTACTAAGAGATGAAACAATGGCGTACCATTTCAAAGGAAATCCTTTGTAATCAAACCAGATTGAATCTTCACCAGGAGGAAGTGAATCCTTGAAGTAAGGCTTTATAAGAGGAATCAACAGAGGCAAATATCCTATTCTTGGTGCTAATACCTGATAATGCGAGCCAAAAAAAGAGAGCAAATTCACAAGTATGATCTTGTAAAGAAAAAGAGCAAATTCGTCTAAATTCTTCCTCGTTTCAAGCACTCAAATCAATTTGATGATCTTAAATCCCTAGAAACCGAAATCGATCATGATCCAACAACAAATACCAGAGATTTGCACCATCGATTTGAAAACCAGACCATCAAAAAAAAAAGAAGAAGCTTGGGGTGATTGATTACAAGAGCAGGAGGAGGAGCAGGGTGAGAAGCAACGTCGGATTTGTGGAGATATATCTGCAGAGGTATTGCTCCTTCCCATACATACTTGACCGCTTCCTTCGCCATTCTCTTCCTCGTCACACCTTCACGCTCGGCTTCACAAAAAAAAACCTCACCTTTCAAAAACGACGCTGTTTCTTGTGACGTCATCTTCTCTTGCGTGTTACACTGCTTATAAGCAAAGCGTACGTTAGAGCAGCGGCTTCTTCTGTTGGTGGCTATTGGCTAACGTGTGTTAACCGGTCTAATTTGGTTTGGCCAAATTCTATCAAAATTTCAGGTTAGAGTTGGTTTCCGAATCGGTTCGGTTATTTGTTGGGTTTGAACTTTGAACACACAATATTGTTTGTGTAAGTTCTTTCAGTTGGTGGTAACCTCAACAATTTCATCTTTGACTTCAATTGAAAGCAAAAACTCTTTACCAAACTTAATTTAATCGGAGATATTGAAGAGAGAAACCTGAGATTGCGTTTGTTGAACCAACAATTAGGATCTCATAATCACTAGATTAACTGTAAAAAAAATTGTACACGAGTTTTACAGTTACAAATTTTGCAGCAAATTTTAGCCTAAACAACAAACACCTCGGAGAAAACAATGAAACAACAACAATAACAACAAAAAATACATTGATGAACACTTAGGAAAGTTGAATGAATATTAAATTTTGTCTCTTCTTTAGGGTACCTGAGAAAATGTGTTATAAGTGGAGACGAATCTCTTCTTCTTCTTCTTCTCTTACCATCTTTCTCTTCTTGTACGGACCAAATCCTCTTGAATTTGACTCCGAGTTTGTTCTTCTGAGCTCAGAAAATGCAGACCTTTCGCTTGGTTTAAACTCCCATTGCCATACCATTGTTTCGGGTTCTGAGGTCTTGTCTGTGTGTCCCGTATCATCCACTGAACCAGTGTTTGATCCAGTCGATGATCCTTCGTTTTGGACAGCCTTTCCTGAATCTAAACATCTATTTTCCACATCTTCTTGCTTAAGAGGGACTTGTATCCAACAACTCAATAGCTCTTCTTGTGAGTTTCTTATTATTGGTAATGTTTTGGATGATGAGAGCTTCCGTGGTAATGGTTGAATTGGGGATTTACAATAAGTTGAACTTGTTAGAGAAGACGACATGCCTGAATCAGATACCAAAACTGTCTTCCCAAAGAGTTTAAGGCTTCGCTTCGTTGGTTCCTTGATTGAGCTCTCTCTATTTAAGAGTATCTCTCTTGGAAACAACTCCAGCTTCTGTACAAATTGATCAAACCAAGGACATTAAGAATTAAGCATCTAACAGCAGGTATTGTTGTTAAATCGAACGAGTATAGATTAGCAGATGGGTTTATGTTTTTGTCAAGTACCAGAGTCTCAAGCTCTTCAGGTGCATTTGCAGTAGTTGTAAGAGCAGCTGGTGGTGATGCAGAAGAAACTGGGGACAAGCTTCGATTGGGTGAACTCGAATCAAGGGAACCCAATGCTTCTGATCCAACAGTGGACAACACAGAGGTTGGAGATTGGTTGTCACGTTCTGAGGGAGAAACCGGTCTACTTGTTTGATCTGCGTCGTTCCCAAACTTACGAGGGTAAGGATGCGCTGGCTTTCTCTTGGGACGAGGAGGCGGTATCACAATTGGCTCTACTGAGCTCCCATCACCTCCAGTTGCTTCTCGAGCAACCTGTGAATACAAAAAGCTAAGTCAGAACTCAGAACACAAGTCACCAAACAATGATCCCTTGTCTAAGCAGTATTTGGGTTGCTATAGGGGTTATACCGATACTTTCTGTGAACAAGGGTAAAAGATATAATAGCAAAATAAGTGTATAAACCTTAGAGAAAAACTTCTGAGCATGGCTTCGAATCTGAACTGCGGTCTTTGAGCCCACATGTTCTGTTAGTGAAACAAACATATTTTTGAGGGTCCAGGTATGTATAAGGCCACAACTCAGTAGCAAGAGATATTAGTAAATCATTTATTTACCTTCTATTCGTCTCCAAGCTCGCCCGTATAATTTCAAGGCTTCAACAAACTTCTTATGCTCTTCATCTGTCCACCTCTCTCTTTCTTTTGTTATCGTGTATGGTTTCCGTACCTAAATAAGAAAGATGATTTGAGCCAAAGATCTTCACTTTACATAACAATATTTGACATTTGATGTTAAAAGAAACAAACCTTAGGTGCATAGTCATTTCCCCCAAAACTTTGGTCATTGAATTGTATCTGCTTGTCTCCAGCTTCTTCATCTCTATTCCTTGAAGGAGGAGCTTCGGTACCCTGAAACCATCACCAAGCAAAACGACTTTAGGAGACGAAGTCCATAAATAACACAAAGTGGCATTGGATCATTTACTTTCTTCTTCAGTTGCTCAATGAACATTCATTCGCATAATCCAACTAATTCAACTCGATATACAGATCCTAATCACATTTACACCCATGAATCCTTCCAAAATGGGTTAATAACACAACCCTGAAAGTTCTTAACACAGTCGATTCCATTTTAAGGACTCACATGAATGTAGTTGCAACACACAAATCTAGAGAACATATAGCTCAAAAGAAACAAGAGTCTGTAAATGAACATATTACTCTTAGCTTTCCTAGTTAAATGTTCGTAATTTCGTATACACTATTCTAAACTCATAGATTCATTAGCAAATCTAAATAAAGCAGAAGCAAACAAAAAAAGTGGATAAAAACAAAATTTTGAGACAAGACCTGAACATTCGCAGTCAACGTAGACGACGCCATAACTTCCCGGATTAAGATCTCGCCGGAGGAAAACAAAAAAAAACTCGAAGGTCTGGAACGCAGAAAAGGAAAAAGGCAAAATAAATTGGCGAATCTGGAGTTCAAATCAGCTTAATTTCCTCTGTTTCTATAGATCCCATAAATTGATTCGATTTATCTCTGCTTTAGTTAGGTAAAAACAAACGATTTGCTTCTGAAATCAGAACCAATCTAAAGCTTCCACCTTCCAGAAAAAATTACCAGCAAACCGGAGCTTTTTGGATTCGTTAGAAAAAAAAAAACAAAAAGAAAAAACTCTCGCTGCAGAGAAAGATAAGAAGAAGGTCGAAAATGAGACTCTCAGAGATTCTCCGAGAACTATGCTCGCCGGAGTAGAGAAAAAGACAAGCTTTCTGATTCGGCGGAGGAAGAAGAAAGCAGAGAGAAGAGTTTGGGGTCTGTGAAGGAAGAAGAAGGAATTTGGGGGTGAGAAAAAGGGGGAGGGGGATGCCACGTCAGCTTCTGGTATGTGCACTTTTTTCAATTATTATTATTATTGGTTTTCCATGGAACGCTCGAGAAACAAATTCGATCTTGTGGCTCACGTTCAAAGACCACCATTGCCACGTGTCGCTCTTTCTCATGTTCTTCTTTCCTTTTTTTGTAACAAAAAACTTGTAGATTTATTCATTTATCTTTTCAAAATATTAAATATTCATTTTTTAAATGAATCTACTTGTTTTAAATACAGTTAGATTTGGTGAGCATTTTCATTGTATTTTTAATTCCCATTCCTTTTTTTTTTCTTGACATCATTTCTATTGGATATTAAAATTATAGTATAAAATATCAGAAAATATAAATTTATGTAAAAAAAAAAAAAGATTTTGCTGGACGGAGAAATGTGAGCCACCAGAAGATACTTGTAGGAAAAAATATGGTAGGCGCACTCTCAAGAGTATGATTTTGCGTGCATACTCGCTATTCATTGGTTCCACTTCAAGAGATACAATGTAATTGTGGTTGATGTTGATGTTTATTTTTTGGGAGATAACATTTTCTCTTCAAGAGATATATTGGTTCCACTTCAAATCTCTTGATATGGTTGGATATAGACCAAAATTTTTTATATAGGATATTTGGATCCGGATCCATCGGATGTAATTGTGGAACTATCCAAATTCGGATAGTTAAAAATAATTAAAACAATAATATATATATAACTTTAACAAGTCATGAAATCAAAATCAAATATTTTTAGTTATTTACATAAGCATTTTAGAAAAATATTTATTAGGGCATTTTAAAAAGTTATATATGAAAAAATCCAAATCGGATATCTTAATCAAAATCAAATTATTCGAATCCGAATCCGAAAACTCTTAGGGTCTAAATGGTGACATGAAGTTTGAGGAATTCTTGAGGAATTCTTGTGGATTTTTTTTTTGTTACATCATTTACAAAACCATAAACTTGAGGAAAACTTGTGGAATTATGGTCACATCAATTGGTCACATAATATTTTAAAATTTGTAATGATTTTATTATTATTATGTTTTTAATAAATATAAATACTTTAATATTTAAAATCAAAATTTTCATAAAGTTTGCTTGATAATTATATAAAAATTAGATAAATTTTCTTAAAAAATTAAAAGCATAAATATTGATGAAATTGGTGGAATTCTTGAGGAATTCTTGAGGAATTGGTGGAATTCTTGAGGAATTTTTTTTGTTAGGCTTTTTTTGTTTTAATTAAAAATTAAATTATTCTTGAAACTATAAATATTGAAATTCAATAGTACAAGTTGTTCGTAAAATTGACAAAAAAAAAAAAAAGTTGTTCGTAAAAAAAATTCTAAATTAGACAAATATTAAAATTTCATTTTTATTTATCAAAAATGAAAATTAATTATAAGATTTTATGGTTTTAAATGATACTGTTTGATTAAATTATCAAATATATTAACTTTTGATTTCACCATAATCACCAAAATATATAATAATTATGTTTGATAACACTTTACATATATTAACTTAAAACTTCCAATAATTTTTGTAATCTTAAAAACTTTTCGAAATTTTAGAGAATTTAATTAATTTAAAAACATAAATCAGATTCGTGTTTAGCTAACTTGATTATATTTCTAATATAGTAATTTTAAATTTCTTCAAAATTCAACTTTATTTTTACAAGTTACAAGTTTTTCATAATATTTCGTTTTTAACTAATTTTGTTGAATTTTTTTTTTCAAATTAAAATTTTTAGAAGTTTATTTGATTAATTAAATTTTCAAAAAATTCAGCCAGATTCAGCAGTTACCATTTGAACTTTAAATTATTCAGCCAGATTCCACAAGAAATCACAAATAAATTCAGCTAGATTCAGCAATTCAGACAGATTCAGCCGGATTCCTCGGTTACCATTTAGACCCTTAATACTTTATTTTTTGACCAGATCAGATTTCACATACACTTTGTCCAATCCTAGAAAACATAGTCAATCCATTCTAGATTTTGTGGGGTTCTACTCTTTTTTCTCCATTCTTCCATGAACACAATATTTGATATTTAAAGTAAATTATTTATAAACTTTAAGTCTATAACCATCACAATATCTAAATTCAGATTTTTAAAAATTTCTGTTTAAACACATTTTTGCAAGACACTATAATTGTTTCTTTTTATAAAATGAGATCCACAAAATGGGTTATTCAAATTTTGGACTAATATTAAGATTTGTTGTTGATGTTTCTATATTAACAAGCCTCATACAAATGCAATTGACGTATCTTAGCATGATTCTGAAATATATATATATATATATATATATATTTATTTATAAAATTTAGGCCTCTAAATTTTCCAATATTCTTTTCACGTCAAACTTATATGTTTGGTTAAAAAATATTGCACAAATTTTAAATAGTTGAAATGGTTTTGAATGTCAATCTAAATATATGAAATTCCAAAATCAATTGAAAGTAAAATGAGTTTTTTTTTGTTCTTTTTCGTTTTGTCGTTATATATAACGAAAAAACGAAAACATTAAGTTAAATATCTTCTGCCTCTATAAAAACTTGGTGGGGATCTTAACGTAAGTGTACGTATATACAATATAATACTCCCTCTGTTCCTTAAAGTTTGTTGTTGTAGTGTTTTGAGTTTGTTCCACAAAGATTGATTTTCTAGATTTTTATTTTATTTTTTATTAATTGATTTTAATAAATCGTAGATTTCAAGGCGTAATGATTAACTGTTTCAGATTACTATTGGTTCATAGTTTATTAAAAAATATTTAATAAAAATAAATAATTAAATAATGATTGTTTCTTAAAATATGTGAAATCTCTAGAAAATCAATTTTTTAGGAACAGAGAGAGTATATACAGATACGAATCTATGATATTTATAATTTTTTTTTTTTTGTCAACTGGATTTATATTAGAGGTAAGATTGGTCATTACAACAATACCAAGAGGTGAGAATCACCACAAGAAGAAGCCACATCTCCACAGAGAGGGCACAACCAAAAGAATATGCTCACAACCCGAGCCATAGACATAAAAACTAAGATTCAATCAGAGGAAGATAACCTTTCTTCATTAAACACCCCATCAAGCCACGCCGGATGACAGACCGCCACATAAGATTGTAGCCTACACTCGTCGGTGACACTCTTTGCTATAAGCAAGGCTCCCCTGTTTGAAAATGAGTTTTCCAAAAAAAACTTCCAAGATCGAAAAGAACTCAAAACAAGACCAAGTTCCATAGACATGTATCTATAGGAAGGCCAAGCAGCAGGTCTAGAGACCGCGTTAACCAAAAAATCCTCCTGCAAGGCAAAGACCACTTTTTCTACCCTGTGAAACCGCATACTCTCCAAGGCCTAAAGCAGTCCTTTGAACTGAGCTTCCTGTTTCACCAAAACACCAGGCAAAGCACATCTACTGTGAAGTAGAACCTTACCAACATGATCCCTAAGGACCCAAGCAGAACCAGCAAACTTATTCCTTTTGGACCAAGAAGTGGCAACATTACATTTCAACCAAGTAATGGGAGGGGCAGTCCAACCAAAACTCTCTTGACTTAGACCAACCCCAGAATCCGGAGCCTCCTCCTCCTCAATCTCTTGGGCTTCCAACCATTCAATCCAATCTTCTCTAACCTTTTGAGCAGATTCAAGAGGAGAGAAACATTTTCCTTCAAAGATGGCCAAATTGTGATTTTTCCAAATTCTCCATAAGGTCCATGGAAAAGTATTTCTTAGTTCCTCCGGCCACAAAGCATTCTTCAAATTTGAGAGCAGATAATCAAAATTTGAAAAAATGGAGCCATTGTGGAATCCCCACTGAGGAGAAGGGACACCAGTGAGAGCCCACAACTGTCTTGCCAAAGTACAAGAGAAGAGAGCATGATTAATAGACTCTTCCTCTCCACCACAAATCTGACATCCCTCATCACTCTTTCTGCCTCTACTACTCATCGCCTTAGCCACTGGTAGTGCACCACAAAGCATTTTCCAAAGAAATACTTTAATTTTTGGGTCAGTTTGAAGTCTCCAAATCTTCTCTTTCAGGTCGTTGGTAGAAGGAAGCTGTTCTGCATCACTTCTAACTTGAATATTAAGAGACAGAGAGGCTAACCAGTATGCCGACTTGACAGAAAAATCACCACTCTTGTTGAATTTCCATGAGTAAAAGTCCTCAGTTTCAGTCACAGGTTTGATCAACCTAATTCTCACGATGTCATCAGGGAGGAAATGCTCTTCTAGCTTTTGAGGATCCCAGTCTCGTGTGGAGGTATCAATCAGATCAGCAACTCTGAGATCAGGATTGAAGAAATAATTTCTTCTCAAAGGAGGCCGCCATTCCTCATCTTCAATCCAAGGATCAATCCACACCTGAAGAGACTTACCATTTCCAACATTCTTTTTTAATCCTTGACACAACAGATCTCTGCCATGTAATATGCTACGCCATGCGTAAGACGGCCTGGCACCCAAGGTGGCATTTAGAAAATCTGACTGAGGAAAATATCGACTCCGCATGATTCTTGCAAAAAGGCAGTCCGGGAATTGCAGAATCCTCCAAGCTTGCTTTGCCAAGAGAGCTTGATTGAAAGTATGTATATCTCTAAAGCCAAGACCACCAAGAGCCTTAGGGAGACAAAGCTTTTCCCAACTTAGCCAATGAATCTTATTATGATGTTCAACATTACTCCACCAGAAAGAAGCCAGGGCACTTGAAAGATTGTCACAGGTAGTCTTCGGGAGTTTGAAGCAAGACATAACAAAAACTGGCATCGCCATAGCCACAGACTTCATTAGCACCTCTTTACCTCCCTGAGAAAGGAATCTAGAGTACCAAGCGGAGAGTTTTGCTTTTACTCTGTCTTTCAAATAGCTTAGAAGCTCAATCTTTGAGCCACTGAAGCATTCAGGCATGCCCAAGTAAGAGCCAGCCCCACCTTCATTAACAATGCCCAAACAATTCTGAATAGAAGCCTTAACATTCAGATCAACCTTTGAACCA